TACTCGTCACCCGATACGTCCCAATTTCCTCCAAAGTCGATCCAACCAGCTTGGCCAGAAGCCGTAAAGTTCGCCGTATAAGGCAAGACACCGATAGGCGCTTCTCCTGTCCGTTCCGAGCAAAAATTACTGTTATCTTGACCTGACGGCGCTGTATATCGGACCACTCCATTCGAAAGCGGGAGCAAGTCGGGACTATAGTTCGCCTTGCAGAGTTGTAATTTTGGGCTATTTTGGACAGTCCAAGGGCTGGGAGCCCAAAACCATTCGCCTTTGCCGTAATTTTTGTTGAGAAAGACGGAGCGAGAATTTTCGGGGGCATCCTGATTGTTGGAATTGAGCAATGTGTAATGGCATGAAAGAATCACTTGCTTGGTCGACGGGTCCCAGATCGTGTATGGACTATGCACGGGATGAATGCCGTCAGTGGTATTGATGCCCATTCCCGTATCAGTTGGGTCCCATGAGTGGCCATCTTTGGAGATTTTGAAATGCACGGGACAATGGGGGACCCCGCAGAACTCATAGCTCATGATATACTCACCATTGTCCATCTTCGCTACAGTAGCCATCCCTGGCCGGTCTTTGACCTGGTGGCTAGCCACAGCTTTCACGATATCACCCCAAGTATCGCCCCCGTCCTCGGAAATGATATTGACTAGCATCTGGCTATGTGCCTTGTGCTGTCGTTCATCGGAGAATACCGCCACAAGTCTGCCTTTACCATCAATGTAAAGGAAAGGCTCCCAAATGCCTGAATGAGATGGGCCGCCGTGCTGCCATTCTCCTACAGCATCCCAGGTTGCACCGTGGTCTTCAGACCTCCAGGCGAAAAAGTTGGTTGTCGATCCATTAGACGGTAGGAGGTTGCCGACTAAAAGCAATGTGCCTTCGGGATATTTACCCATCTTGCGGGGGAATTCGAAGAAAAAGGGTTGTTCAAATCGAGTGTATGCCCGGTTTGGATCATGGACAGTCGTCAGGGTGCTCCAAGACTTGCCATCTTCACTTTGGCGAATGATAAACTCCCCTGCTCTTCCACTCGCATTGCGCGTATCTGGACCAGATGTGTACGTATGCTCCCATGTAGCTAACAGCCTGCCATTTTTATCACCGGCATGCTGGAGCTCAATGACGCGAGCATAAGTGTTGATTTCATTGTTCACTGTGGGGTCCCAGAGAGAGGATCCATTCGAGTCTGCGACGACTGGTGAGATGAAGAGGGTCGTTAGGGATGAAAGGACAGAAATTGCGAGAATCTTGGCATTGACCATCGTTCTAGAAATTATGGCTAGGAGAGCACATTAACAACTTGGATTGAATGCTTTCTAGTTCACATACTGAAAGCAATTCTATCTATATACTTATTCGCATGCATAAGGCCTCCCATTTTTCTCCTCCTTAGGAGAATTAAGTCCTAGCTAATTTCAAGAAACTGCTTGAATGGCGTAGAAGGCTGGAAATACTTCGCATTATCCTCACTGGTTTATCTAAGCCCCCAAAAGCGTCATCAATGGCAGGTGGATGGGTGAGGAAAGCATCAATCATAATTCGACTGTTGATCACCAAGGGAAAATACGCGAAAGCACTTTTTATTTTTATTTTATTCAAGGGATTTTATTTTCTACGTAGATTATCACCTACTATTCACTTGCTCTTCGTGTTCTTGCGGGGCGCCCAAGGCAGAGTTCGGGGGCCACCTGCAGCCTCGTCTCTCCCCTCAAAGGCTGGATAAAGATCCGCGCTTGATACTTCGGGTCGGATTATTGACTGTATGCGTTGCCGAGCCATATTTGGCATCCACTCGGTCCTTAGCGTCCCTCCACAGGTCATTCCGTGCACCTCTCCGACCGCAGCGAGCCTACTTCGGCTTTGGCTTGACCAATGGAGCTGTCAGGGGATCTTCTAAACGACGATGTCTGTGACCTGGGGTTGAAAAGAGCCTCTTCTAAGCCAGGCAGGCATATGGTAAATCCCAGAGGCCCCAGTGAGCCATTAATACGTCTGCCCGTTGGCCTAAAATTTCGATCAATCCTCTTTGTACTCTCGCAGATTCCAAGGCTGACAGAAATGTAATTAAACGAGGAGGCCCTCAAGCTTCACCATCGCTACGCGGGGAAGCCATTTTAAAATCATCGTCAGACTATTTTTCTCCCCACAAATCCTCTCGCCAGGGCCAATCTGTATCCTCTTTGCATTGTAGATTAAGTATTCATCCGAACTGGCCCCAAAACAATGCACATGGATCTGGTGGCAAAATACTACAGAGGCTTATATGGAAGATTCTACACAACTCACCAAGAGGTAGATAATGGATTGGTAGCTCTGAGGGCGCCCTCAATGATCGCGGCTCCAGGCTTGACCTTTTGATGAAGACTATCTTTATTTTAAGTCCCTGACCCCTGGCCGCTCTGATGACGCATTGCTGAGGCACCGTCGCCGACTGCATGGGTCTCTTGGCCCGCACGAACAATGATCATCCTCGGCGGTTGTCAAATGAGTCTGGTAAAGATCATGTTGGGGTCCTTGGTACTGATCGTCCCCTGGAGGACCAGGAATGGCATGTAGGAGAGAAAACAGAGGCGATTGGAGCCTCCCGCCGCGGCAGAATCCGTTTGGTGGATCCGCTAGTTCCCTGCGTTGCTATTGGCTCCCTAACGTGTCTCTCCACTCGCGCTAAACGTCATTGTTCTGTCGCTGCAAGTGCAATCAACCTAATTTACTGAGTTGCGAGGCTTGCTTTTGCCGCATGAGACGATCGAACCAGGACTTGTTTCGTTGCTAGGGGTCTTAAAAAAAAGGCTCAGAGACATGAGCATCGAGATCTATTTCAAAATGGATGCAGCAGAGTGAATAGTCACCGAAGCCCATATCCCATTCGTTTCATCGTGGGGTCTGGAGTCATATGCTGTATACTTGCTGCGCGTGTAATTTGGGGTATTTTCATTCTAGATTTTGAAATGGCCCGGGCAACATCCTAGCCAGGGACCAGGTGATGGTAATGTTGACGTCTATTTCATTTTTCTGATTTTAATTTCAAATATCTTCATTTCTCTCCCTCCTCGTGGAAATTGAGAAGGAAATATGTTTGGGCTGGTAGCAGCGTCGAATACTTTTGTGTTGACTTTTTGAAAGATCGGGGCCAGCCCCAGCAATTGAGTGTCGATTTAGGCGCCCTGCTTCCCAAGATTGACGGATCCGTTGCCTCTACTATCTCGGAGGCCCCAGTGAACCATTTTTGCGATCCGTAGACCCAAAGATCGATACTCTTTTCGGTTCGGCAAATTGCAAGGCTGTCATAAATAGACTAAAACAGGGGGTGATGAAGCCTGAGCCTCATTACACAGCAAGAGCAGAGGGCCGTGGATCTCTTAATACTCCGCCACAACCCAACTCTACCAGCAATTCTTTGTTTTAGGTTTTCACCTTGCTATGATCATCACCAAGATCAAGCCAGGAAAGAAATACATTTTCACAATGCAACCGATCTATTTCTTGGTTCTTCTTTTCACTGATGCAATGGCACTCCAGATCAATGAAGAGCATCCTAATTAGCCGACTAAGCGAGGGGTAAGAATAACGCAGACTCCCTGACCAGAGAACAGTAACTACGTGGGCACAGCACTCGCTAACAGACGGCAATCAAGAGCTTGTAAGTGATAGTTCTCCCTGATCAGAGAATACTGCTGGTAGGGCTCAGCTGAGGAGGCTTTCTAGTAATTGGCTTCAACATGTTGATTGCTGTTGCATCAAGAATAGTGGTATGGCACGTGGTAATGGTATCAGTGAGGCATATTCTGTGAAGATCTGTCTAAGAGGGTTTCTTTCTTGTTTGTACTGCCTTGGTATGGGGTTTTCCTGTTTGTAACAGGTTTCCCCATATTGTTATGTAAATGCAAAGGCATTCTCTTATACATGTTGTGATTTGTTGCAAATACTAAACTGCAGCTCGAAGTAAAGGGGGCTAAGTCCTATATGCAGCAATAAAAACGCTGATATAGCAACCCTCGAGTATATCTGTTCGATTGTTAGGCCTGTGCTATATGCCGAAAATGACCAGCATCAATACACCCTTGATATTCCAGTAAATTTCTTAATATTGACTAGTGCGATCTTGGCAATGAAAACTCGAGAAACAAGGAAGGATGTTGGCAGTGTCGCACGGCCCCGTAGCAGCGGCCTAAGGCTGCCGCGCCGAGTGCAGCTCGTAAAACCAGTTCACCCACCCAGTATTCCATATCTCGCTGTGAGAACAGTCGGACGATGATGATGATGATGATGATGATGATGATGATGATGATGACTATGAATTCTATTTTAGTCTGATGTAGCAGTCCTATTGTTCCGGGGCTATGCAGACCCAGATCAACTGAAATACATGCGGTACGTCCTTGCACGAGGGACTTTAGAAATCACAGTTCCGTTCCATGTGCCACAAGCTGGTTTTCTCGGCCGATGTGTAGGCACACGACCACAGTAGGAAAATTCTGAAAACCCCCAGTTATTTCTACCGTGCTCGATATGGAGACAGCGGAAGGGAGGGGTGTGTATGAGAACCACACTCCACGACCCCCCTATCTCTCCCCGGGCACTGGGCTTGCATTCAGCTTCCTCTCCTCCGCCGTGGTCCCCTTGTCACTCTCAAGCCCGTGAGAGATAAAGGGGTTGTGGCCGCAGGATTCAAACCCGCAGTACCTTGTTATAGGCGTGGGTAGGGCCTCTTCTACCAGACGCCTCTTCGGTACACACCAGGTGGTTACCACTAGACAACCAGGCCACCACGGACAATGATTTCAGACTGGCTCCCTCACGTAATGAGGCCGAGGCTTGGTCACCCTCCTGCAATTAGTATCACCCATTGGTCTTCGAAATCAGGGGGCCACGGGCAGACGTATAGATGGTTCACAAGTGCATCCTGGATCTACAACAAGCCTGCCAGGTTTAGAAGTGGCTCCTTTTAGCCCCATGGCACGGACATCGTCGCTAGAGACGATCCTATCATGTCCACTGGTCAAGCCGCAACGCGGCACAAAGGCCCTCTGTCGGACACGACAAGCCAGTTAATTAATGCGTACCAACAAATGCACAGGGACCTGGCCCCCCACGGTGGGAGTAGTCCACGGACCGAAATCGACCCTGACAAGCTCAAGGTCAGTACTTTCCTTCAGCGTCAACTCCAAATCCTCGATTCTCTCAGAAGCTGCTCTGTTTGCGCAGATCGAAGAATGACAGCCACCAGCTCAGGCACATTGACGCCGCTGCCCCTCACAACGACCTTCAAACCACCGAGCGCATGTCTCACCGACCTCTGGGCTGCTCATAGTGCCGGCTCGACATGGATGAACCTTGGCCCTCTCGATACCGCTCGATGTCTCCCGTCAGGATGGTCCCCTTCGAGTACGTTCTCGCCGGGTGTCTGTCCAAGCGGCTGGATCATGGCCTCGAATTTGACCACGGAAGTGTCAAATAAGCCCGTCACGGTAGGGACCTGTTGTCCCAAATATTTGTGAGTTCAAAGGGGTTTCTACCCTTTCAAGACACAAGCCTGACTACTGCATCCCTCATTAGACCCAGCGGCTGGGTCTTATCCACACGTCCCTCAGGAGAATCCCCGCGTCCATGGCACACCTCTGAGATCTGCCAGTGGTCTCCCACAACCAACTTGAATTTCCGGTACATGTTGCTCACCGAGGATACCACGGAACTCATGCACGGCACGATGACCGCGGGTGGAGTGTGGAATGCATATGGCATCGTGGTCGAGTGGCAATCGAGTGACCATATCTATCTCGCGACAGCTACTGCGACTACTACCTCCTCAGAAATCTCCACACAACATGTTACAAGCACATCATCGGGCTTGTCATCAAATGCCAAGGCTGGAATCGGAGTTGGCGTGGCGATTGGAGCGATATCGATCCTTTTGGCATTTGGTCTTCTCATTTGGCGTCGCCGAAAGCGCCCAAAGACCCCGCGTGGTCCCCTGAACACCGCTGAACTCGATAGTCACTCAAACTATGAAATGTCCGGTACGGACAAGTTGGAGTTGGACTCAAATCCTCTTCATGAAGCAGGGGGATTACCCAAGACTCATTCTTCGACTCAAGAGCTCGTCGAGCTGGACGGGACCCATTGATGACTGTACTCGCTTCTTGATGGCATGAGTAACATTTGGGAACCACCATGGTCTTCGGAATAAGTATTGAGCCCTAATGATGAATATGCCTTAAGTAAGGTTTTGACAGGAGAAGGTCGTGGTCCGCCAGGTTGGCTGTTCGAAATAGCTTTCTTCGGGGTCGCTGTTTTAAACCGCTAGAAGCTAGTTATGAAACCAGCATCGCTCTGTGGGCAACCAACTGTGATTGAAGGGCTCTAGTTGGGCGGAGACCACACAATCTCAATAACACCCGAGGGCTTAATTGTCGAATTAGATGAACAAGAGAATTCACCTGCCAGACCGAGTGTTCACGACAAATGGTGAGAAGATGGACAATTGATAGAATTCCGCGCTTATGATGGCCGAATTGAGATTCTTCACCTCATTTTCCTAGTAAGCGGGGCTTGTTCCATCGCAGATTTCAGGCGACCCGACTTCACCTCGAATCGCCTGGTCAAACCTGCCCACATGCCCTCATTTGCGGGTGTCAAATCAGGCGCGCCAACGTGGGGTTGGTTCTTATCAGGTATAAAGCTGCTGCGCTGCCCTTGCGAAGTCGCATCCACATTCAATCTACGTACCCTGTTCATTTCCATTTCCTCTTGCACACACGCATCTCATCTCGACTCATTTAGGGTTTGTGAAATGAGTCCGTTGCAAGTACATCCCCCGCGGAAGATATTGCTCGTGGTCACCACGGGAGGATTCACCCATGCCGGTAAGAAATAGAATGGCATCGAAGCTCGTAATTCCTATTGAGCATTCGATGGCGATGGGATGGCATTAAATGTTAAAACTTTCACAGGTCCTGTATTGGAGATTGGCAGAGTCTTGGCTGAACGTGGCCATATTATAGAATTCGCGACACTGGACGGCCAAGAAAATTGGATTAAACCTGACGAATATGGGTTCATCAGCGGACTCCATCTAATGGGCCCAGGGCCGACAGATGATCAGCTTGATGCCCATTATCGGCGGATGCAGGCATGGGATGTCCGCGAGGGTATTGAGCCCACACTTATCTCAAAATCAATGTTCGATTCCTTCTGGCCGCAGACATATGATGGCCTCAAGAAAATCATAGAAAATCCAACCACCCGTCCCAACATGATCATTGCCGACTTTTTCGTCGAGGCCGCTCATGATATGCAGGTCGAGTATAACCTTCCCCTTGCTATTGTGTGTCCCAACTGGCCACCACTCCAGCTGCCTTGCTCCTATATCCCGGGTCAACCAGGGTTTCAACTGCCCGGGACTATGACCTCGGAGAATGCTTCAATGTGGCTTCGTATCAAAAACGAGTTGGTCATTTTGTCGGATTTGCCCGCCATCATGCGACTGTTGAAACGTACTAGGAAAATGCGCAGTGATTACGGCGTCTTCCGCCCACTTCACAAACCCAGGAAGCCTGACTATCTCTTATTTGTGAATTCCTTTGTGGGACTTGAAATCCCTCGCGATCTTCCTCCGACCTGTGCTCCAGTGGGCCCATTACTGAGTCCCACTTGGGCTTCTTTGGATGAGGCCTGCGACAGTTTCATGAAGAAGCACAAGTCTGTTCTATACATTGCTCTCGGAACGCATATCATTCTACCACATACCGACTTTACCACTATCGTGACCGGAGTATCTCGCTTGATGGAAAAGGCTCTGATCGATGGCGTGATTTGGGCCATTCCAGAAACTGGCCGGGGGGACATTGATGAAAGCCAGACTTTATCCACCGACAAAGATGGCCAACCAACAGATCTTCTCCTTGGAGATCTCCTCTCCAACAAGCACCCAGATTGGCTGTTCCCATTCTTTGCGCCCCAACGTGCGATCCTTGATCACGATTCCACTAAAGTCTACTTTACACACGGTGGCGGCTCGAGTGCTAACGAAGCTCTCTTCCACGGGAAGCCTGTTCTGTCCATGGGAATTTTCTTTGACCAGACCGCAAACACGACCAGGCTTGTCGCCGGCGGAGTGGCAGAGTCACTTGACAAAGTCAGCTTCACCGCTGACGAGATCTACTGCAAGATCAAGAAGATCGTTGTCGCCGAGGACGATGGATCTTATCACCGCAACGTGCTACGGATGCAGCGCATCGCACATATCGCAGCACGTCGCAAGAACCATGCCGCCGATCTCGTGGAAGAGGTGATGTACGACAACGAGTTGCGGCTCGACGCAGATGGCAGAGAGTTGCGACCGATGCATCTGCAGACGGCAGATTCGCGCATGTCGGCGTTCAAGGCCAACAACTGGGATATATATCTAGTTACTGCATTGGGGTTGGTCACCATTGTCGGATCAATCGGACTCGCGGGTCATTCTGCATGGAGATATCGGTCCCTTTTGGTTGGCCAGGCCCAGTCGATTGTTTTGGAGGGCTGGGTGCTCCTCCAACACGGAACAATCTGGCCTCGGGCCTAGTTATTCATGACGGACAACTGTAATACTTACCGATTTGCGTTGGCTGTTGTCGCACAGATGGAATGGTTATCCATTATCAAAGTACTGTCTTGAATAAGTAAGCGGGATACAGATTGAGTCACTGTCGCATTGGTTGTTATAGGCCACTGATGTCATGTGTAAACAGGAAAGTGGGCTAATCACCTCCCGACACGAGAATCCCGTTCATGTAATTTTGACTATCTGATGTTTGTAAAAGAGAATATTCACAGAATGAGGTTTTGGATGTCAGCGTCTCTGCACAAACGAAGACAGCACTGAAGGCAGGAGCTTTCCCGCAGGACACTCGCCTTTCTATAAGAAGCAAGTGCAAAGCAACGAAGATCATCAGCCCCATCGACAGCAATTACACTAATCTGCAAGCTAGGATATGAAGCAAAGGTATCCTGTGTCTCCTAGTCCGAGTACTCTCCAACCTCACTCAAAGGCATAGTATATGATACAAATCTGTCTGGATCTTCGAGTCGAGTCTGCCGAGGATAGGGACATCTTTTGAGTATCAGTAAATCTCTTAAAGAATAGAGAATGGTTAAAGGATCTATTTGAGCAACAGCACATCCATCTAGGTACATCGGTGTCAGTTGAACAGGAAGTTCCTTGTCATCTTGAGGGGTCAATATCGAGGCTTTATGCAATGGTCTGCTTTGTATATACCCTACTTAGCAATCCCTCTCAATCGCAATTCCAGAAAGTGCACCGTGGCCTTCAAAGCAATGAAAAACAGAGGGAACTCTTCATGAGCTACGTCACCGGGTGTCAACGTGCTTGATGCAAGCCTTATCCTGAGGCAGAAGTGACAGGCAGGTCCAATAATCAATTTCTACACTTTGGATGAAAGCCAAAGCATCCAGGATGATCGAGCTATTCATCGGATTTTTTTAAAAGATTTGATGTGAGATATCAAATAGGTTCACGACTTGCGGGAGGAAAGCCACCATGAATGGGAGCTAAATATTATTTCCTCGGACTATTTAGATACTAGTTGTGCATCTTAACTATTCGCAGACATTCCAAAGAACCCTTTCTCAATCCCTGGTTCTAGTACATTCATGTCGTCTGAGCCAGACTCGCCAAAACGTCGAGACTTGATACTGTGCTCGACTATTCGTCATAACCACCTTCACCTTACTCAATATCTGATCGATCAAAGGGAATGATCCATAGGGACTAGCCACAACTGGTTGATGTGCCTACAGACCGCCACAAAGATATAGTGACTTACCCGATAATTATATCGAGGCGCCTCTATGACTTCTGACACCAAACGCGGAAGGTTAATATACCTGCACCTTCTTGGACCCTTTACCCACGGGATGCACAAACGGACATAGACATCACGCGAATGATCATTCACAGCGGAATCGACTTCGATGAAACTCAGGGCTGCGATAGCCTCCCTGCTTTTCCGTTCGCAATAGAAAGCTCCACATGGTTAAAATGATTCTAGACTGCGGTACCAACCCACTTATCCCCGTCGCCGATCGGATAAAATCTCTTATCGGACGGTCGATCTGATCTTTTCAAGAACGAGTGGTATACCTGGTCCTATAGGCTGGTCAAAGATACCACAATCCTTGGTGAAATTCCACTGGAATACAGCCAGGATGCATTTCATACGCTCAAATATGCGGAAAAGATATTGCGTCTCGTCTTGGCCCATGATGAAACAGCACGCCCCTCCGATATTTGGATCGATTCAGCCAAGACAGGGACAACCCTACATATTTTAGCTCTTCTCCCGCTTTCACATCAATTCAGAATGTTCAAATTTGTTCGCCTTTGGTTTCCCCTTGTAGGAGTTCAGGTTTCGGATCTGTAAACAAATTTGACGAAATAAAGTTCATTTTGTTGACATGAGCATTCCAACGGCGATTATATATTTACGTTCTTTGATGCCAATGATCTGCCACATCGGCATCATAGCAGCCAAACGCTCGGGACAACCGATTTCTGAATGGTAGCTTGCTCATTGCAACTCGGTAAATTATAATTTAATAATCTCACGTTTCTGTCGGCTTTTCAATCTGTTGATGTTACTGCGGGGTCCATTTTAGTCGGTCGCTTATTATCACCCATGCGCCGAGGAAAATTCCCAAGAATGTCGTTGCCAGCATTCCTACGTTGGCCAGGGAGCTGACGGGAACTTAGAAGCACAGGCCGAAAACACATATAGAGGTCGATTTCTGGATGATCCTGTGGAGATCTTCCCCCAGGGCTATCCAGGCTTGCATTATCATCCTTGAACCTGTCTTCTCGCACACAATGAGATCACACATCATCGCACTTGCTTCTCTGACCTACTTGGTAGGCACAGTGCAAGCCCAGACACAGATGGACTCAGGACCAAAATACGACTTTATCATTGTGGGCGGAGGGACGAGCGGATTAGTTATTGCCAACAGACTCTCGGAAAACAAAAGGGTTACCGTCGCTGTCATCGAAGCCGGGGATTCAGTCTTCCACAATCACAATGTCACCAATGTTGCCGGCTACGGCCATGCTTTCGGCACACATATCGATTGGGCATACGAAACCGAAGATCAAAAATATGCTGGCGGATCGAAACAAATAATGCGTGCCGGGAAAGCTATCGGCGGAACAAGCACCATCAACGGTAAACCCGTCCTCCATCGCTCGCGACTAATTTGTACTGATTCGGATTACTCTCTCCAGGAATGTCCTACACTCGAGCGCAGAGTGTCCAAATTGACGCTTGGGAATTATTCGGAAACAAGGGTTGGAACTGGGGCAGTCTCCTCCCATACTATCAAAAATCCGAAAAGTTCGAGATACCCAGTCAGAACCAGTTCTCTCGAGGGGCCGACTACTATATCACCTATCACGGGGAGACTGGCCCTCTGAACGTGGGCTGGCCTATTGATATTACGAACCGCAGCATGCTTCCCACGCTTGACCAAACGTTTAACCAATTAGGTGTTCCTTATAACCGCGATGCCAATGGCGGCAGCATGGTCGGACTCACTTCTCACCCTAATACAGTCAACACGAAGGAGAATGTTCGAGAAGATGCTGCAAGAGCTTACTACTGGCCGTACCAGAACCGTCCCAATCTCAAGATCATTACGAACACCTTCGCTAATAAGATCATCTGGGCGAACAATTCTCACAGTGAAGCAGTCGCAATCGGAGTGGAAGTTACCACCTCCCACGGTATCGAGACTATATACGCCTCCAAGGAAGTCATTCTGTCAGCTGGCTCTTTGAAATCACCCGTCCTCTTGGAGTTATCCGGAATTGGCAATCCGGATATTCTCCGTAAGTATGATATCCCAGTCAAAGTTAACATTTCCACCGTCGGTGAGAATTTGCAGGACCAGACAAACAACGGCGTTCATTATCAGGGCACGGAATTTTGGCTCGGCTATCCGACATTCTCTGTTCTGGCGTCTGCTAACCAAATATACGGAAATAACGTGTCAAACGTTGCTTCCTATGTCAATTCAAGCATGGTTGAGTATGCAAAGGTTGTGTCTAACTCATCTAAGGGAGCAGTTCAAGAAGCCAATATTCTGGCCGCTTTCAAGCTTCAGTATGATTTGATCTTTGAATCGCAGGTTCCCTACGCCGAAATCGTTCTTCTACCAATTGAAGGGATGTTCATGTCTGAGTACTGGCCGCTACTTCCCTTCTCGAGAGGCAGTATCCACATCAAATCCGCAAATGCCTCAATGCCAGCCTCCATCAACCCGAACTACTTTATGTTCAAACAGGACCTCGATGCCCAGGTCGACGTTGCTCGGTTTATTCGTAAGGCATTCATGACAGATCCTCTGAGTGACCTTGTGGGAGACGAGTTTGCCCCCGGGGTGGACAATCTCCCCGACGATGCGCCTACCTCGGAATGGGATGACTGGGTCAAGTCGAACTGTATGTGTAAATCATCCTGGAGAATCAGAACAGCTGACTAACAAAATCTCAGACCGGTCCAACTTCCACCCAGTCGGAACTGCCAGCATGCTTCCACGTAACAGGGGAGGTGTCGTCAGTCCCGAACTCAAAGTCTACGGCACCAGGAATGTCCGGGTAGTTGACGCCTCCGTCCTACCGTTCCAACTTTGTGGACATTTGACAAGCACCCTTTACGCCGTGGCCGAAAAGGCGGCCGATATAATCAAGAAGCAATACCGTCTCTAGTGCCGATAGCTACATGGCACGTCAACCATGCGGCATGCCCGAATCTTTCTCTCTGCAAATATGTCTCTGCGCTCAACATTTCCAAGTTTTCGGGCCAGAATGTCTCGATCTTGTTGGTACTTTGGGTTTTTTCTTCGTTGCTGATTTTGTACTATCGAAAGGATAATAATCCGGTCACCTGTATGTTATGAATAATGTGATCATGTCTCATGTAGGGCTCTGGGAAGCCCATTTTTCTGCTATGAATTCGAATCCGACTTATTGCCGTGCATGACATTTTCTCTCGTAGAGCAGGCAAAAATCGGGACATAGTAAACAGTCCTCCTGTTTTCGCCTTTTGAAAATATGAATCTCTCAATGGCTCTTAGTCTATTCTCTATGAGAGTTAGTCACTTTCCCAGAATGTTCTATGCTTAGGAGTTCCCTGTGCTGTGTCACGGAATGTTTCCCAGCGGACATAATTACCATTGGCCTCACCGATTCCCGTCTAGACTCACCTTAAACAATGACCAAACTCTCAAATACACAGCGACAATTTCCCAGTGTTATTCATAGAAACAAAGAAAGCATTCGTCATAAATTTACCTAACTTACCCAATTAAACTTCGATTGTCTCGGGCAAACAAATGCTATGACATCAACACCCCCTCCAACAAAAGCATCACCATGGAATCTGCTCGCGTGTCCTGTCTCCTTTTATTTAGTCCAGCCCATCGGATCTTCCTTTCAGTCCTCACCAACTGAGACTTCCACTGAGCCCAGGGCTTGTCGATTATCCCCTCGGTGGGACATGAAGCGGAGTCGTCAAAGTTTGAATAGTCCAAGAACAAGGCCCACAATCGTCGATCAAAGCCGTTAGGAGGAAGATGGGACGTATTTTTCTCATAAAAAATCGAATCCAACGATTCCCCTCCCTTAGGGCTTGAATGGGACTCCGATAGTAGAGTGGGTAGTTCAGGAATGCCTCTTTGTGCGGGTAACTTCCAGATCGGGTATTTACAGCCACTGGTCTCGCTAGACTAGTCCGAAGCGCCAAGAAAGTGATTGTAAGCAACTAACACAAATCTGAGTCATATATCAGCGCCCTGTAACTATTCTACTCGTAATAGTACACTTGCTTTAGTTCTGCAAGATCTGTCATAGATGGCAAAATAGCCACCTTCACAATTCTGCCCCTGCAAAGTCTGTAAGGATACCCGGAATTTCCAGGAGAGTTATTAAAAGCACCACGTGAAAGACTCATTGACATTCTAACAATGAGAACACACAAAAGTTGGGTTGTGTTGAAATCGACCCGTGGAAATCTCTTCTTGCTCACCACATTTGATGATGCAGAACGGGCAGTGATTGGCCCAACGCCAAGCTTTGCCCTGCCAAGACTACATGAAGCACTATCATTGGTTTATATGCCAGCCAACATCCACTTGATGGGGATTATCATCCAATTGCAATGCTTTGTTTCTTGCCCTGGACCACATTGAGAGTGTCCATGGCGCTGCAAATTCGGGCAGTCGGGAAAATACCACGTAACCAGATGAATACTTGATTACCCCTGAACCGAGAAGAGGGGGGGGATATTCAATGTTTTCAAATTATGATATTAAGTCACACAGATCAAGGAATAGTGGGAGGATTTGTAAATGCACGGTCAAACAAGCACTACATAATCAATTGCCTCTGAAGACCCGGCCGGATGGTCTAGAATCCAGTCCAGTTCATAAGAATCCGCTAGCGCGTAGTTAAGACTGTCTGATCGCCCACCCAACTACACTGCCGAGCAAACGGTGGCCCACTATTTGACGCTAAGTTACATCGCTGGAGGAGAGCCCGCCCCAACACCAGAGGCAAAGTTGAACGAACAGTTCCCACTACGATTATCCGGTGTCGTGGCATGTGTAAACGGGGCTTGGCTGAGTCTCAAGTGCCACTGAACACATAGTCAGTATTGTAGAAGCCGAGTGACGATCTGTCCAACTTAATCCAGGCCTATTGTCAAGTGTAGTGTTAGTGTTAAACCCATTTTTTCCCAAAAAGGGCCTTTATGACTGAACCAAGGAATCATGGGATAATATATCCTTTGTGTCCTTCTTTCCAATTGATCCAGACACAAAGCCTCAAAAGACTCAAAGTAAGCGAAACATCCCCGAACATTGGCTGGTGCTCCACCGACACTCAAAATCCCAGGGCTCGACAAATCACGGCAACCACATTTTCTCCTCCACAATGTCTTTTCATGCCTGAAATATCCCTAACCAATGAGACAATTCACTGTCTACCAAGCAAGAACAAAGTCTTTCCCAAAGAACCACGGGCTAGACTTCTTCTCCGATCCTTGCGCCAATCGAGACCAAGCGCGCAAGCCACCGTCATCCACCAGACCCAACTGGCCACACGTCAACCCACGGCGTCGGCCCTTCTGGAATCCCAAGCGTCTACGCACCTCCATCGCTTCTCATTCGTAAACCATGCTAGCCCTTGACGTACGTGCAGCCTCCGGGGTGCCAGTCCATGGATATCCCCGCTCAGGTACCAGGCACACTGGTCTGCGACTGGTCATTTGGGCTTCGTGGAGGCAATGACGAGACGTGGCGCGGGGTCCGTCAGATTCTGTCGCTTCCAGAAAGAAGAAAGGGCCAGAAGGGAGGTATATAATGGCACTCTTCGCTGGTCGCGACTCCCTTTTTATTCTCTGTTTCTCGTTACACCACTTTCATTCTCTTATACCATTCCTTCTTTTTTTCAGGAAGTTTCGATAACTTCTGTCATTCCTTTCTACAAGTCCCTCATCACGACTTGTCCAGGTCATTCTTTTCTCTCTGCTCACTTGACGTGAACAAATCCTTCTTTTTTTTATATCAAACCATTCACAACAATGCAGTTCGCCAAGTCTCTCCTGCTGCTGGCAGCTCTCACCACCAGCGCCTACGCTCGCCCCGAAGGCTACGAGCGCCGCCAGGTCGCAACAGCCACCACCACCAGCGCCGCTTCATCTTCTTCCACTTCTTCCGGCGGCACCTGGACCAACACTCCTTCCAGCGGCAGCTATTCCACCTCCGGCTTTGGTGGCGTCACCTCCAGCAGCGGCAGCGGCAACACTTACACTGGTAACGTCGGCAATGCCTACGGCAGCAACATCATTGAAGTCTCCGCCTCCGACGCCAGCCAGTACAAGTACGTGATTCAATTCCAGGGCTCCAACACCGAGGACTGGACCGTCGCCATCTGGAACAAGTACGGTCCTGACGGTAAGATGGATGGCTGGTTCGGCAATGCCTGCAAGACTTTCACTCTCGCCGCCGGTGCCACCAAGTACATCGCCTTCGACGAGGATACCAACGGTGGTTTCGCCGCTGCCGCTGGCTCTATCCCCACTGACTCCAACGGTGGCTACGCCTCCACCTGGGGTGAGTTCGACTTCGGCTCCACCGTCAACAACGGCTGGTCTGGCTTCGATGTCTCCGCTATTGCCGCTCAGAACGCCGGTCTCACCGTTCAGGGTATGAAGATTTGCGATGCCCTCAGCAACACTTGCTCGTCTATCACTTCCGGTGCTGGTACCGTTAGCAACGCCTATACCAAGGCAGAGACTGACGTTGGTGGCATCGGTGGTAACCTCGCCTCCGGCCCCGTCCGTCTGGCCGTCACCCTCGACTTGAGCTAAACGATCGTTGGGCTGAGGGAAGTGGTAAATTGCGCGTGTGACGTACCATGCAAGTATGAACGTTCGAAAATCTAAAATTTGCCTTTTTTGGCTTCAAAGCCGGTGTTTCAGGTCGTGGTGTATACCCAGTTGGTACTTGTCCTTTATTGGTTACCTTTCCTTCTGTGGATATAGACTCTCAGGCTGGTCCTTGATTTTGAGGATTTCGATTTCGGAAATGTCCATGTCTTATCGTCTTTACGTCCTACGTCCAAATACCATACCATATCATACATATCAAACCATAGAATTGGACCTTCCACTGGTTTCCAAGAATGAAAAACATCTTTTCAACTCTTCAATTCCGCGCCGGGGTACTCAACTAGATTCTCTATACTTCTGTAAGTATCATGTTTCACACTCTTAACGCCCTTGAGTTGCAGCGACTATATGCGATGTGGCGTCCATGACCACATCATTGCATACGTAGCTCGTCACCTTTTTCAGTGTGTTGGCTTTTCCCTTTTGGGAGGACGACTTGTTGCTTGTTCACCGCCTGATTGGTCCGTGTAAATCTCAGAACGCCTCGGGTATCGGCGCCGGATCGGCGTGATCGGATTGTGTTAGGTAAGCAGATCTAGGATCGCAGGTATGGAGTCATGGACTCGCATCTTCATCTCATCGAATGTCTACATGTGAATGATTGTCGAGATGGCAATATTAAATAAGTTTTGGATTGATTCTACTTCCAAGACTTGAACCCTCATCTGTGTTGCCATAGTATTGCTCTATTTTGGCCCATTTCAAAAGATACACTATATGCAGGGACAAACAATGCTCTCTGTCAAGGTTAAAGTTCAGCCTTTCAAGAAGGAAAGTTAGCAAACAACGATACTATTGGCGACCATGAAGCCAGGTCTGGATTCTTGACTCCACTGCAGCTTATGACAACAACTTAGATCAAGAGGCCTGAAGATCTGGTGGATGTCGTTGCTCCACCCACTCACGCGAATCAGGGACGAACTCGATGTGTACTCTTGACGAAAGAGCCAACATATCATTCAAACGAAAGCACCATCTCGCGCATACTCTTGTGTCATACTACTATAGCACCCATGATATCAACACTTTTGTGTAAACCAGGGATTGCGCCTGAGATATGGTCCCATTTCCTAAAGCGGAAGTCATCCCAAAACGTCCGCCACAACATATAAGGCACAAGTCCAGCTACTGCCTCCAAAATTATACCAGAACAGACGTTTCGCTCATTACTATGCATCTCCTCTTCGTGCCCCTCTTCGCACTCCTCGCATCCGCCTCATCAGACTGGTGGTATTTCGACGCATGGGACGGCCTTAGCTGCGGCGATGCGCCGCAAAACGGCGAACTCGTCATTACTACTGAAGGATCAGGAAACCAAGTTTGCATCAGTCTCGATGAAAGTCAAAAGGCGTACTCGTATTCTTCGGCATTCGGCCTGGAGGAGACTGAGGTTCGAGGGTTTTTTTATGAGCATTGTGCTGGGCCGAGTAAGGTCCTTGTGAATGATACCTGTACGAATCCTGATGCGAATTTGCCGTATATTCGATCATGGAAGGTTTCTACTGCTGAGGTATCGGATTGATGGAGGTATGTTGTACTTGGATGAATGTATTGGGGAGATGCTAACAGAGGCGGCAGGGTATCTGGGCCGCTATTTTCGACTCATTGGTCTTGTTGGACTCGATTTTGATATTTGCATACAGAAACTCTGAGAATTTTTCACTGTCTATTAGTCCGTGCTTATCTGTCGTCCCTGGGTGCGGCGACATCAATGTGTTGCGAGACGGACAAGGGAGTTTACTATTTCTCATGTACTCAAGTACAAGCGTGCATTTCATTTTATTTTTTATGAGTTAACAAGCTAAATTCCCACCGGTCGCTCATATTTGGGACATTTCTTCCAGTGCCTGCATGTACATTTTAACAGTCGTGAGCTGTCGATTCACTGCATTCTTTGTTCGAGGTACCCTGGTCGACGCTATTTGGCCTTCCCAGATGTGTGTCAAATTTGATGAATTTCCATCAAAAATTGGGAATTGAATTCGAATCGCAATTGAACACTTAAAGCCCCGCTGGGCACAAAACTAATTAACCAGGGTGTGTGATTCTCGAAATGATGGAGATACCGATGTTTTCGGGTGTGTTCCGACTGGACGTGCCTTTGTCACTTCGGGCCGAAAACGGCAAAGACGACGGTAGCTACACCGATGACAACCAATGACAAGCACGGCATTGCTTAAGTACCGACCATCTGCAAGTACATCCGGGTTGAAAGATAAGACCATCTCCAGTTTCCATGCTTGTGGGAAAGGCCAGGGAGCATAATGTTACCTACGTAGCGGCCGTGGACACTGGAGCTCCTGCAAGACATGGTTCATAGTACTAATTATATGCACCCCGCACAATGCCATAGAAAGCTGGAGGAAGTTGATTCCAAAAATTCCACGACCAATCGGATCTTACCGATATGCAGGGGCCAACAAAGCACCGATCGTGGTCTGGCCGCTTTGATCTGCAAAGTTGGCCGCTTCCGTCCCTGAACGTGGACAGAAACGTCCGTGTTGAGGAAAATGACTAACCCAGATTCCTGCTCAGAGCGACTATCCCGCTACGCCACAACCAAAAGCGTACATATTGATGGCGAACTCGCTTCTCATCTCCGGCAGCTGTCAGGAAACATGTGCTTGATCGCCTGGACTTTAATACAGATCTTCCCGCCGATAGTTTGCAGATTATTGACTGACGGCTTGGCATGCCCTTGCCTTCTATCATGTACAGAGCAAGCTCATCGAGATCCTTCAGGTTGCCGATGTTTCGGAAGCCAACTGCTGGCTTTAGGAAGATTCTTTTCCTATTGACGGTACCCGCTATTATTCTGCTGGTTCGTTATCGTATGCAAGATCTTCCGTCTGTAAAAGATCGGATGCAGTGGCAGTCAGAAACTGGAGAATTTCGACCCGAGAATGTACAAGGTAATTATTTGACATCAGATGGTAGAGCTTAGCCTCCTAGGACTCTCTCTCTCTTTCTGTTCCAAAGCTCACTGAATAATATTGAGCAGACAACACGAGCCCTTACAAAATCTCACTTTCTAATCTAAATGGAGGTACCTCGGCTGAGGACTCATCACAGCATGAGTCCTTCACAGAAAATTCGAATGATCGTCAGTCAGATCAGACAGCCAGTGGTTCCCTGCAACGCTACATCATACCTCATGAGAATGCAGAAGATGTCAGCATTGTGGCAGCAAGGTCAGGACCGGAATCGACAGACTGGATGGAGGAATTCTGCGAAGATTAGTATGTCAAGTTGCGACCTCACTATCAGCATCATTCGACGAATCGGCAAACCTTGAGTGGCTAACCTCCCTTCAACAGCAAATGCACACCCCATATCTACTCCTTAGATGAGGAACCCGATGGCGAGTTCCTCGTCCCATATTCCAGAAAAGGCCACGAAGCAAGCGCGTACCTGAGTTACATAATCGACAACTACAATAACCTTCCACCCTACACAATCTTCATACATGGCCGTGAAGAGCAATGGCACAACGACGTCGCAGGACCAAACACCCAAAACGTGCTCGCAAACCTCCGCTACGAAGCTGTCAGTATAAACGGCTACGTCAATTTACGATGCACCAACAGACCCGGCTGCCCAAGCACAATATTTCAACAGTTTCCTGTAGCGGTTGACTTTGACTATCAGTATATGATCAATCAGCTACCCGAAATCCTGGGTCATCTCCTCGGAATTGATCCCAGCGAGGCGCCAACTGATATCGGGCATCAGTGCTGCGCACAATTTGCCGTGACAAGGGAGCGAATTCAAGAGCGGCCTCGAATTGAGTATATCCGCATTCTTGAGTGGATTGCCACCACTGATATGACAGACAATTATGGTATTGGATGGTTGATTGAGAAACTGTGGCATATCATTTTTGGCATGCCAGCAGTCTAGTACGTTGATCACTTGTCCAGTATTTGAAGTTGGCGCTAACGGTCAAACTAGCTGTGAAACTGAAGAACAGTGCCGCTGCGATTTGTATGGGTGGTGTGGTCCGAATCCGTCGACCAATAATCAGATTTTGACACCCATCTCTTGATCAGCACGGAATTGTGTAGCTTCAATAGTCTGAAGCCCAAGTTCGGAACACAGTTCTTTAATTCTATTTGAGACCTGGCGTCTTTCTAGCTAGAGAGTCATTGAAGCACACTAAACAATGCACTTTTCTTTACTCAAATATCGTTATTAGTTCAAGAGAATTCGGATGTTCCGACTATCTTCAACCCCTTGCAGATCAGAGATGAAGAACCGTATCATGGTTGCCCCGATGTGCATGTACTCAGCGGAATCAAATCCGTCGTCTCCCTTTGTTAGGGCCTTCACAGACTACCATCCGGCCCACCTTGATCACCTTGCCCTGAAAGGCGCAGGCTTGGTGACCATTGAGGCGACCGCTGCTCAAGAAAATGGGCGTATCTCGCCAAATGACTCGGGTCTCTGGCAGGACGGCGTTCATTCAGAGCAATTTAAAGGACTCCAGCGCCTTGTGAACTTTGTTCATAGCCAGGGCGCAAAGGTCGCTATCCAACTGGCTGGACGAAAGGCTAGTACTGTGGCTCCTTGGATAGCAGAACAAGCCGGAAAGCGAACCTTAAGAGCCGATGAGAGATCTGGAGGATGGCTCACCAACGTGGCGGGGCCATCCGGTGGTGACGAACATATATGGGCGCCGGGGGATTCCTTCTGGCCCCCTCGGGAGTTAAGCACAACCGAGGTTAAGGACGTCATTAAGGCGTTCGCAAACAGCGCTGCACTCACTGTCAAAGCTGGCGTTGATATCGTTGAGATCCATGGCGCCCATGGATACTTGGTCAGCGAATTCCTCAGTCCTGTCACCAATCAGCGAACGGACAGATTTGGAGGCTCCTTTGAGAATCGAACTAGAATTGTTCGCGATTGCATCCAGTGTTCGATCTGTGATACCTACAGGGGTGCCTCTATTCCTTCGAATCAGTGCAACCGAATGGCTTGAGCATGTGCGCCTCGACTCATGGGATCTCCCATCCTCGATTGAGCTTGCAAATTACTTCCATCATTCGGCATCGATTTCCTCGACGTCAGCTCCGGTGGTAGACCAGAAAGTTGATATGCACAACAACTATCAAGTTGATCGTGCAGGTGAAATTCGACGGATTATTCGAGCCGAGGGACAGAAAACCTTGGTAGGAACGGTGGGCTTAATCACACAGCCCGATAGAGCCTGCAAAATTGTACAGAATGCGGATGAAGCGGAGGCAGTATTGGCCGAGTCTATGCTTTCAGGATCGCAGACTATGGCCGACGCTATCTTGTTGGGCAGGCAATTTTTGCGTGAGCGAGACTGGGTAGTTAATGCAACCACGGCCTTGGGTGTGAAGCTTACAGATTGGCGTGCTTTTGCTATGTAGCTGACTTTCAGATTAATCTCTCTACTATACAGCAATCAAAAATTTAAGTTTGATCAATCAGTAGTACTGCCTTACAATGAATCCTTTTTCAAGATGTGTTATATTCAATAATGTACTTTGCTGACCATTATTCGAAAATTTTTCGAAAGGGCTACTCAATCTTGGGCTACCTTATTGGTCGGGCGGTTGATCTGGATTATGCTGCGGATGGCGAAAGTCATCTTACATTTTTATTACACTAGAGAATGGCCCTATCGTAGCACTGCCACAATCAAGGTTAGTATTTGGCAACCAAGAATAGTCAGACTCAAGCATCCTTCATCTTTCTCCCAAGCCTTGAGATGTACACCTGGCATAGATCGAGTAACAGTCTCGGAGCACTACTGATATTATCATTCATCGCGGGGGCATAACTCAAGACAAGCATTTATTAGACCCCAATCGGCTTGCAATAACCTACTACCAGAGTTGAAGCTATTCGTTCCCCAAATGCCAATTTTGTGCAGCTGCCAAGTACTCAAAAACGGATGTGAACAGGAGTTACAAAAAATATTAACGCAGAATACCAGTGGACAGCATCGAGTTGACTGCATCAATGACACTTTTCTTCAAATCGATGTATTCCCAAGTTCCATCGCGAGATCCCTTAGCGAGTATATCCAGGCTGATGCGTGTATCCCACCCAGTGGGGTGGACACCCGAAGGCAAAATCTGGCCTGGGTTTCCTTCAGGAACCCTATCCTTGAGGGAGGGGAAGTTTTGCCGAATGATATTGACTACAAGCTGTGGTGTTATGAGCCCTGATATGAGAAGAATGCGTTGGTTTGCCGCTGCCGGGTTTTTTAGCGCATCGACATGACTACGGGCAACATCACGGACGTCAACCTGAAAAAAATGCAGTCAGTACTTTGCTTGAATTTAATAGATTCCCACGAGTGCCTTGAAACATACAAAATGGTAAAACGGAAATGTAACGCCATCAATCTGCTTGTGAGTTCCATCAATAAAGCTCGCGATCGCGAAATGATTAGTCTCGTTGATGGACTTTGGTCCATGTATTGGGTGAATCATTGGCCCGGTGATTATATCCGGATTTATAACGGTCAAGTCAAAGGTTGGCTTGCTTTCCCTCATGAATTTCCATGCAGCTGCCTCCGCGCGAATTTTGGAGACGTTATAGCCGAGAACAGTGTCGTTCTGCGAGATAGCTTGCTCAGCAGTCACCTAAATAGTTGTTAGATTGGTCGGCAAATATACTTTTTCAAAAGCACTGACGGGATTCCAGTCTTTCTCCGTATAGGGCTTTCCTTCTGTAGATAAATCTTCGAATGAGTTGAGTACAGAGACAGCACTCCCGAGAAGCACGAAACGTTTGAGAGATGGACCACCAAAGTGCTGCGCTGCTCTTAATATCTGTGTGGTTCTAAATTTGTGCGTTAGTACTAATCAGAACTCGTAGTGGTTGAATTACCCCATCTCAGCTGGCTCAATCATCTCTTTCTGAATATCAGAAATTTGAAACGTCACTGGAGAAGCTGTATGTATAACGTAATCAAACGGTTTGCTAGAATTTTGGAAAATGTCGTCGAAAGGCCTGTCGGAAGTGAAATCGGCTACGATCACGAATTCCACATGATTCTTCCATGACGGGTGAGTGGAAATGATGTCTTTAGCTTTTTCATGCGACCGCACGGTTGCAAGGACCGTATATCCTCTCTATTCAGGTGTAAGTCATACTTTGCTTCCTTCGGGTTGGTAAGCGATGATATGACTAACCTCAATCAGAATAGATAGGATATGAGATGCCACGAAGCCATTTGCACCTGTCAGGAGAACGTGTTCTCCAGCGCCAGATTGTACCATTGTAACGGTGGAAACGTAAGAGAGTACAAAAAATTGTGATCTGAAATTCTAGATATAGCATTAAATTGTGGGAAACCGTCAACTTAAATGACCTTCTGGGCCGTTTTCCTCTCACGTAACAGCCGGAAGCAGACGCAAGGAGTTACAGAAAACATTACCGTAATGACGACGCAATCAAGCCTCTTCTAAATAGTGGTGCTGGGATGTTTCTTCCTGGGATCTAGCTGTACTCGGGATCTGGTTCGTATCTGACGTCAATAAGTGACGGATGCAGCCAATGTAAACCTAAGACGCATGCTGCTTCCCCGGCCCGCTTCCACATCTGACTGCATACCCCGACCCAGCCCACCTGTTCAAGTCTAGATGTATTCTCGGAAAACGGACGACGAAGCGCGGGCACAAATCAATACACTTGTGTGACTTACAGTGGCACAGCAAAAGTCCTAACACCCCCAGCCCCACATACGTATTATGCCAAATTTGACCGTTCTGATTATTAAATTGTCCATGAAAGTCTATATTCGATTTTCGACAGGCTACTTTGGGCGCCTTATATACCACTATTACTTAGTGACCGCTTTGATAGGTGGTAGAGCCTTGGCACGGGCAGTGTGATGGGTAGCTCTCTAGGGATGCCTTGGACTTTTGCTGTGTCAATGTACGGAGTACTTCCCGCTAGAAGTGGAGAACTTGAGGATCTGAACGATTTCTTTGTGCACGAATTCCACTCCGGAGTGATAGGAATGACATAATATGAGCTAAAAGTCATGCTTCAAACGATCCAGAGGTGGCAAAACGCCCTGATCCTCCAATGTTTCAAAAGTCTTTTCCAACTCATCCCAGGTATCTGCATACCCCGTCCATCCTAGCTTTCTTGCCTTGCTCATACTTCCCACGCAGTTCCAATCACGACCAAGGGTCATGACTAAGAAATCCCATGTTGCCTTATCCCATGCTTTTTGATCCAACCTATACATATCACGGAGCTTGCACCATGCATTGTTGACGTCTTCTCGCTTCGCCCATTTTTCAGGGTCCACTTGAAGGAACAGCGTTGGGGAATTCTCAGCCGCAGGATCGGAGGAGATGCCCAATGCCGATGCTGACGCTTTCAGAGGGGGTTTGTTTCGTAACTGTATAGTAGATGACTCGTAGTTCTTGAATCCCTTGGTATGAGGAACCCCGCCATTGGGGAACATGGGATCCGGGATTTTGCACCCAAACCGGGAAGCTAGACGCGGCCATAGGTTCTGGAATGACTCAGTGTCACCGTTCATGACGTTGAAAATCTGATTGCCTGCACCAGGTGCCTTTGCAGCCCAGAGACAAAACTTTGCATGAAGGTCCGCTGAGGTCCAACAGTTGAAAGAAAAGTAGTTAGCCCGGCTCCCTGGGTACGGTAGCTCTGACCCAGGCAGTGCCTTACTGACAGCACAGTAAAGCCCAATTGATGTGGCTTCATTCATAAAATTACCGCGGGCGTATCCAAGCACATCTTCAGGGAGTGTGGCAACCCATTCCCAGTCGTCCTTTCTAGCAGCATCTGCAAGGATTCGTTGTTGCTCGTAGTAGAATATAGGTGGCCATTGGACCCCACCAGCACCTTTCTCTAAGAGGGGATCATCTTCTAGGAAAGGTTGCTTGGCTGGTCCGATGTCCACCCCATATTGCTTGAATCCGCAGGTAAGAATGAAGCGCTTGATTTTCCGAGAAGCCCCCGTCAGGGCCAGGGCCTGAACAAAGTTGGAGAGCAGCTCAGCGTTCACCCGCGATAGCTGACCGGGATCGCTGGGTACAAGGTATGCACAGAAATATATGTATTCGGCAGATACGTGTTGAAAGGCTTTGGCCATCTCCTGCGCAGGGCCTTGGAGGTCCAGAGAAATATGCTCAATCTTTGGATCATGATATCCAGGATTGCTTCGAGAGAATGAGTATATCTTATCGTAGGAAGTATCTTTGAGAAGATGATGAACTATTGCGCTCCCAGTGATGCCTACACAAAGTCAGTCGTTATGAAAGGTCTTGGGGGTATTATTGAGCTAGGGGGCCCTACCGGTGGCACCGGTAACAATAGCGGAAGGCATGATGATGACTTGGCCCTCAGGAAGCTTGCTGGAGAGACTTGGGCGATAAGGGGGAAGATCAAAGAAATATGTCTTCGGGCGCGAGAGGCAGCTTAACCATCTTCGACCGATGACCTCATCTGAGATATTCAACCAGGATTATGGTGAGACTACATTATTGGAGCATGTCATCACTCCTGGGTTCGCACGGTCTTCCAGTATCAGCTTGCGAGGGAAGATTGTGGAAGGGCTGCGCTGAGGTCATCATCCCGAAACGGCAATCTTCTCACTTGGTTTCTTCCGTTTGATCTACGTCATTTTCTAACCATTAATACGTAAATAAAGACGCATTTATTACTAAATAAAAACAATGAATCGATGCGCTCGTCAATTTCGTAGAATATTCATTACATGAACTCGCCAACCTTTATCTAATTGGGCTCACCTCGCATCATCTACCTTGCGTGGTGTAAGTAATTTTAGTACAATACCACTGGATGTATTTTTGACATTCGAATGTGTTTCATGCCCTTTTGGAGACAACAAGAACAGAATGATATGTCTCGTGATCATATCGTATCTGCTATACCTGCGTGACCTCCTTACTCAATGTCCCATGCTTGATCCTCTAGCGGCAGCCCCGTAGACTCTTCCGCCTCGCACACTATCTCAGCCGTGCGGATCTCAGGAGGAAGCACAAAGCCTCCATTGATACTCGACCATGAAGTGTCACCCCGGGCGGAGGGGACACCACTCACATGGTAGTGCTGGGGGGTAATTGGCGTTTCAAAATGTTTGAACAACACCGCACGGCAGTTGGGATCTGTCGGCTCTCCCAAGCAGAGCACCGAGCCCGACAGTCCTTCCATCTCGGTACCATCGTGCATCGCTCGCCAAAGCATCGCAGCCGATTGTGTGCGTACTTTTCTGTTCCACAGATATTCGGTTCCCTCAACGACCGCCTTTTGCATGGTGCCAAATGGATCCATGCGACTCTTTTGCTTGGGCGTCTCGCTCAATGCGCTGAGGGCCATCGTGAAGGCCAGCCGACCGTCCAATGCGTCGCAATAGTTGCCCCAGCCGATGATCCTAGGTGCGCGTGGGGGATTCAGCACCTTCGGTAGATGATCTCCAGTGACGATTGAGGTGTCGTGGTCGATGGTCTGAGGGAAAGTGGAGGATCGCGCGACATGATGGTCGTACGTCGTCGTGACATGTCCGATTTTCTGATCGCGTCAGTCACGAGCAGTCACGGGTCTTGTCGACTTCGTTGGTTGTTTGACTCACCTCTTTTGGCTCCTGAACGAACCACACGCATTTTCCCAGCGGCGAGTCCACTGCAGCTCCCATCTTGACGCATTCCTTGATTTTCATGGCGGTCGCCTTCGAAAATGCCGACTTTGTCTTTGTCAGGAAGCTCCTCTCCTTGTGCGCAATATTTTCCTGTGCCGTGTTCATATCGACAAACCCATGAGTCGTAACCGCAATTCCATGTGAATCATCTGCAAATCGCAGTTTCAGACCCAAGGATGTGACAGATTCGCTTTCCTCCAGCGAGCCAGCGACTGCATTGCCACTATCAGCGACGGCGACCGCTGGGTAGTGAACTGCGATTCCATATCCCAGGCGCAGCAGCCCAAAGGACGGCACACAACCTTCCAACCACGAAGCCTCGATATCCTTGCGAGTGGGGAACAGGACAATAATAAAGCCCGAGATGAGCACCCGCGCGCCAACGGCTGCAGGAAAGAACCGGCGCAGCAATTCCAAATCTGATGCCGTGAGGAATCGTCGGGGATTTATACGACGGCACAGGGGATCTGGGCGACTCCCACTATACACCTTCGACAGCTCAGGGAGCAGATACTCTGGATGAATGTGGATCTCGCGCCCGCCGGCGTGCGTATCGTACATTGGCACCTTAGGCCCAATGCTTACAACCCAGATGGACTTTCCATCGGCCTCGGTGGCTTCATACACAAAGGGACAAGGTCCCAGTGTGCGATGATGCGTTCGCAGTAGCCGTTCATTTTCGAGGGTCACGGTTTGCTCTCTTAGTGCTCGCGCAGCAGCTTCTTCATGCGAGCCCCACTTGTCCGAGCGTGTTTCTGGATGAACCCGGCAACAAGCAAGTGTCAATACGGGCACTACGGCATTTAAAGGGATAACTCTAACCAGCGCATGACGGATGGGGGGAGGGGAGGGAGGGGAGCCTGACTGGTCACCAGGGTCAATTCCCTAGGTAAGTTGATGGATGCCCTGCCCGATGGTGGCTTGAGGCTATCCTCGCAATCAGCGGGGATCGGCGGGTATGGATATAAACTGGCCATGCTTGTGATCCCCGCAAGACGAGTGGTTGAATGCGACCGCGATCTACAGTATTCCTGGAATAACTCGGTCGCACATTCTACTACAGGTCTACCCTGAAGAAAGCTGCAGCATGGGAACCCTTGCCCCAGCCTCCTCGAATGAACCATCAACATGATGTCAACACGCCTCCCTGCGGTTCACCTGCGGGCTGCAGACCCACTCGCCGCCCCGAGCTCTCTGGCAGCCACTCAGTCCACTTCGCCAATCAACATCCAAACAATCCTCAGCACAACACACAAGCTAGCAGGTCCCCACAACCCGAGCAAAGGGGCTGGGGCCACAAAAGCGGTCAGGAACATACATGGAGACTGATGGAGCAGGACCCCGAGAGCTATGGAACACGAAACGACATGACCAAGGCACAAAAACGCGGCGAAAAGCAGGCTGGCTGACTGTCTGACATTTCTGATGAACCCTATTGCCTCCCGGTGGTTGCACAACAGCCCGTAGTGCGCTAGACCTCTCCAGATGTGGCCCCCGATGGCTGCAGAAGGGCTCCAGACAGCTTGGCCAGACTACCTATCAGGGCTTGACCAGCACCCGCCAATCTGCACTATTACATCGCGATCGTGCCGATCTTACCAGCTACGCCGAGCCTGTGATGAACGATGGAGTCTTGACATGCGCTAGTCCCCTTCCTAGGCCCAATGAACATGGTCCGTGAGATCTGTCGATCGGGAAACCGTGCAAGCTGAAGAGTGGTGGAAAGCTGACGAGAATCTGCTCTTTTTAGGCATTTGGACCTCCCGCCCCTCCCCCGAATCTTGTGTCGCTCCAGCTCAGTTTCCCTGCCCTCCCCAGTTTCTTCCTTGATCATCCCTACTCTGCGTTGTTCTTGTTGTCGTTTCTGTGTATAGTATAGCGAGATTCCCCCACCCCCGTTTTCGTTATGCCTGCTGAGATTCCTGGACCGCCCGGTGTGCCCCTGCTGGGTAACATCTTTGACGTCAACCCCAACGAGACGTGGAATTCGCTGAACAAGCTAGCGAAGCAATATGGTATGTGCCAAGGTTGGGAATAGCTGTCGCAAACCAACAAGGTTAATCGTGACCGATAGGCCCCATCTTCAAGATCAACGCTCTCGGCCATCAGATCGTCTTCATTGGCAGCGTCGCCCTTCTCGAGGAAATCTGCGATGAAACACGGTTCCGTAAATGTGTGACTGGTCCCGTGGTGGAAATCCGCTATTCTGTGCACGACAGTCTCTTCACTGCCTACCACAGTGAGATGAAGCCCTGGGGCATTGCCCACCGCATCATGTACCCCCACGTCACCCAGGAGGCGACGGACGCTGTCTTTGATGACATGGCCGCAGTCATTCCGGATTTGATCAAGAAATGGACGTCCGGAACGAAGCAACGCACCCTAGCCGCGGATGACCTTGATCGCATTTTGCTAGCCTCCTGCATGAAGTGCTTCTTCAACCAGCGGGTGAATGTCCTCGGAAAGGACGCGGAATCCGTCAAGGCGAAGAAGATGGTTGATGCGTGGGAGGGTGCTACGATGGAGGCGATGAAGCGGCCCACGCGCCCAAAGCTTCTCAACCTCTTATACCAGGGCCGCTTCTCAGCCCTCACAAAAACCATGCGCTCATATGCCACGGATATTAAGAACAGCCGCCTAAATAATCCCGACCAGGCTCGCAAGGATATGCTGGACGCCATTCTCAACGGTGTGGACCCGGAAACTGGGGAGAAGCTCACGGACTCGCAGCATCTCGATGAGATCGTCACCATCTTCATCGGCGCCGCCACCGCTGCGAATCTCGTTTCTTTTGCCTTGTACTACCTGATGGAGAACCCGGAGCCCCTCAAGAAGGCACAGGAGGAGATCGATTCTGTCGTGGGCGACGGCCCCATCGAACTCGCCCACCTAAAGCAACTCAACTACATCGAGGCCTGTCTCCGCGAAGCAATTCGTCTCTCGGCCACCGCACCTGGCTTCAACATCGAGCCCATTCCTCCCAAAGAAAAGAGCGACAAGTCCCCCGTCCTCCTAGCCGGCGGCGAGTACCAAATCGCGAACAACCAGCCCATGATCGCAATTCTGAATTCCGTCAACCGCGACCCAACCGTCTTCGAGTTCCCTGAGGAGTTCAAGCCCGAGCAAGTCCTCGGCGAGAAGTGGGATAAGCTGCCAGCGGCCGCGAAGAAGGGCTTCGGCAATGGTAAGCGCGAGTGCATTGGTAGGATCTGGGCGTGGCAGTGGTCGTTCTTCACGCTTGCGAGCATCATCAAAGATGTCTCGTTTGAGTTGGAGGATAAGAACTACAAGTTGCATTCCAATGGCGCGTTTAGCGTTAAGCCGCTGGATATGTGGACTTTGACGAGCCCACGCAAGTGAAATTTTGGCATATACCCGACCGAGGCTGTTTGAATGAGATTGAATGTTCAATATTGATGAAACTGTGTATTTTGTTCGGAACTTGATTATGAGTGGACGCGATGGTGTCAATTTGAAATTTATTCAATAGCATATTTACGATTTGAAGCCTGTGTAATGAAACCTAACGACTTTCGAGGGTCTTTAAGGTTGTGAGTGGATTTGACACTCGATAGCGTTCCGTTCAATCAGGTTGCCAATTGAATTAGTGATCTGGCTCGTTGTTGAGCCCAGATGAAGAATTTCCAGAACTCTGTGAGAGGGCTTTGTTAACCTTCCAATTGGAGGGTGACGGGATACCTAAATAGGTATGCCCGATTGGATATCCCCGAGCGCAGTCAGATATATATAGAGGTCGATATACACACATCCTGAGCTTTTAACCTAACTTCGAGATTGGGTGAGATGAACACCAGAGACCAAAAAGATATGATCCACCAGCTCTGTCTTAGCACGAAAGAATCATAATGAATGTAGTAGTAAGCTTGAAAAGCAAAAAGAAATGATCTCAGGTTATTTGTAGGAATAGCCGAACGCGGGGGTCGAACCCGCAACCTTGAGATTAAGAGTCTCACGCTCTACCGATTGAGCTAGCCCGGCAGGGCTGGTTGAAGGGCGATGGGATTTATGGTATTATTAAGGCAGCTCTAATCAAAAGGCAGCACTCGCATTTAACTCGCTCCTCCACTTCCCCGTAACCGACGCGGAGCCGACGACGAGACCCCGAGAGAGCCTTAAACGCAAATGGACAAAAGCAGGGCCACCTTTGCCATATGACCTCCTCACCTGGGATAGCTGTGTAGCAAACAACTCATGGAGGCCCGGTCAGCGAGCAGCTCGTCTCCTGCCCACCAACCCAATCCCAAACAGCCCGCGTGCCTGAACTGCCGCCGGAGCAAGATCCGCTGTAACCGCCCAGCGGGCCACTCGCGCTGCGAGAAGTGCCGACAGAGCGATGCCGACTGCATCGTGCCGAGTCACCATCTGGGGCGGCAGAAGGGGGTGAAGAAGTAAGTGATGCGTCTGCCACGAGGCCGAGCCGATTTGATTGACGTGAATGTCCGCTGACTGGTCGTAGTAAGCGCAAGGGCCTGGAGAAGGCGATACACCAGATTGAGCAAGCCATCAAAAGGCCCAAGGTGGACTCGTCTAGTCCGGATGATGCCCAGAAAGCTATTGCCGGTCTGCAGGAGTTGCTGGGCCGATTCCAGGGCCAGCTGCAAGGAGACGCGAATGCTTTTGAAGACGGCTCTGGTCGTGTGCGCAATCCACCGTCTCCGCGTGAGGCGATGGTAGATGAGAATCTTACTCTCGATGATGCAGAGAATCCTCTCCAATTACTGGCAAGAGCTTCAGATCTGCAATTGTCTCCTACGGGTGTTCGACATGTTCAAAAGTCCCCGATACCCCCATCCGTTGCGCCATCGACAGTGCCGCAGGAAAGCAGCGACTCGGGCGAGGTGAGTGCAAAGTCATTCTTTGTACCTGCGCAGGCGAACTTGGATGTTGGACCGGATTTGGATCCGGTAGATTTGGGAATCGTCACATTTGATGAGGCAGAGTCATTGTTTTCTTTGTAAGTCATGCCTGAAACAAGTTAGAGTATACCCCCACTAATTTCAGAAATGTAGCTTCTACCAAAATCTTGCACATACGCGATGGGGACTGGATCCCCTTGTGCATACGGCGTCTTTTGTGCGGTCGCAATCGGCATTTCTGTTTACCTCAATCATGTCGGGGGCCGCCCTGTTCTTGCCGTCAGCCGCTGCCTTGTCCAAGAGACTGTCTAGGCATTGCAAATGGCTGGCTAAGCGGGTTACGACACATCGCTATCGGTCAGTTGAAATCGTCTTGGCGTTCATGGTGAACGTACCGTGGATGGCACCCGGAGAGCGACTCGGAGATGACGATACGTGTTCGTATATTGCAATGGCACTTACAGTGGCCCTGGATCTATCATTGAACAAGATTGTCACGCCCTCATCAAGCCTCGAAAAAGATCTGCTTGGCCGATTGGCTCGAGCCGATTGCATAGATGCCAAGCAAGCCTTGCATATGGATGGATTCGACGAGGTCGATCCTAACTCTGAATGGGGTCGTCGATTACTTCGACGGCGAGAGAGAACATGGATTGCGCTGTTCGTGGTCGAAAGAGGGGTCTGTCTTGCTCGTGGAAGAAGCTATACTGTCCCTCCAACGGCACTCATCGAGAACTGCGACGCTTGGCATCGATCTGACATTGCCGATCGCCGCGATGGGCCTATGAACTCGATGGCCGTGCTGCGTCGAGACCTTGACGAGCTGTTCAAAAAAGTCAAATCAAGTTGCGACAGCTATCGCATTGTCGATACTGGATCTGAAGCTGCCCAGGCGATCAAGACGACCATCGAGAGTTTCTACGAGCGCTGGTTCGCAAAATGGGCGCTGGCGATCAGCGAAGGTGGCCCACGATCTCTCCCACCATATGTCGAGATTCTAGTGACGCATACTCAACTATCCACCTATGGCGGCGTCATCAACCACCCCACAGCCCCTGTTGAGGTAAAGCGCTTCTTCCGCGCAGCCGGACTATCATCTGCTCTCAACGTCCTACGAGCCGCCATCCAAGGCGAATCGCGCCTTAAATCCATGCCCAACAACACAGTCATTATGATCTCCTTCGCCGCATGTTCAGCACTCAGTCTCAGCGTGACACCAGGCGACAGCCGCTCAAGCCTGGCACCCAGTGTCCGGACCTTGATCGAGGAAACAGCCGGTGTCCTCGAAAGAATCGGCGCTACGCCGTCTCACCGCAACGGTGCATCCGTGTTATACGGACGATTCTTACGAGAACTTATCCGCCGCGGACCAGCTATGCCTAACTCGCATCCTCATGCTGACACCCGGGCGCTCGAATTACCAGGCCCTGCCATGCCGACGACGTGTTTGGGTGAACAAGGCCCCTCACTGACGGCGACGCAACCCGTTCTCCCACCGGGGGATATTTGGACAGAACCAATGCAGTTCTCGGCCATGTCGGATGACCAGATTATCGATGCGGTTAATCGTGCTGGTAGTGCCTTTGGAGCATCCATACCTGACGTACCGGTGGATGATATGCTTAGTTGGGATTGGCTTGATTTCGCGACTACTGATTTCAGTTTTTGAGGACCTTGTGATGATTCGCCGTTGACCGGGTTGTATATAGTTTTCTCACCCGTAAGAGCATTGATATCCAGCATTTGAGGATTACAACCCGTTCATGTCCAGTTCTGTATTACGCAACGCTAGGTCACGGTAAATTCGACCATTTTAACCATAATTCTAGTCATGAGTTCGCGCACATTTTCAAAAATTGGGATAACGATAAAGGCAGAACTTGGCTGCCTCAACATGTCCAGTTCCAATGTCACATAAGATTCTACTATTTGAGTTTCTACTATTTGAGATCCTACCTTTTAAGACCTATTGTTTAAGATCCCGTGGTTTAAAATTGAAGTTGTATATAATTCTAAAACTATAATTCCACTGCTTCTTTCTAAGATCGACCAAGATAGCAACGTGGTTCGTACTATTCGGAACGATAGTCCATTATTTGCAGTACGGGATGAATAACCTAACGTGCCCTCTACGATAGGGAGAGATACACGAGGAGAGGTGACCTCCCACAGAGTTCATTGCTATACAATACATCGTTCAACGGCTTGTTTAGCTGAACAAACAACCAATACATACAAGGATATCATTAAAGGGCCTGCCATATTAACATAGCCACGCCGATAGCCAATGGATTAGTGAGCGAGAGGCCGGCAGGCGCAGAATTATTGCTGCTAGTAGTTGAGCCCGCAGCAGCGCTAGTAGTTGAGCTCGGAGTAGTGCCTGCAGTTCCAGTGCCACTGGAGCGTTCTGTAGCAGATGATGAAACGGAGGACGATGAAGTTGATGGCTTGGGACACAAGTTGTCATATACAAATTGCTTAGGGGAGCCGCTACAAGCGGTCACAGACCCCGCGTTAAATGTGCCGTTCGGATAGATCCAGCAATTACCCGAGGAATACGGCGAGTTGCTTCCATTGTCCGGATTAAAGACGACATAGCTGCAGGAATCGGCCTTTGCACATAGACTCAAGCAGTTCGATGCACCCGTACTAGCAGCACAATCGTCAAAGCAGTCACCAGGCGCTGGGTACCCGCAGACCGAGGCGATCGCAGAGGGAGTCGCGGTAGCGGCGCAGGCGCCAGCAGTGGTGGTTGCGCTCCCGCCGGTGCACACGGGTTCGCTATAGACGGACAGGCTGGGATTGGTGCAATTCGAACTACCTTTGCTCGCATCGAAGGTTTCACCTGGGTATAGCCAGCACGTGCCGGTGCCCGTGGTAGGGTTGCCGGCAGAGAAGATAACAAAGTTGCAGGGAGGGTGGGCGTTACAGTAGTCCCAGCAGGAGGCCCCGCTCTCGATGGCGACGGCAAAGTCTGGGCCAGGTTCCGGGTAACTGCAGAGACTGGTGATGAGGGAAGCTGTACAGCTTGGTGCTGAGGCAGTAGAGGTAGCGAGCGTAGCAGATGTCGTTATGGATTCAGTAGGGACTGCTAGAGCCCGTGGAACTGATAGGACGATGGAGACCAAGAAAGGAGCGATCTTCATGGTAGCGAGCGTAGGCAATAAAATGAACGTGTCTGAAATAGGAGTTGTATTATTATTTAAACAGGAGCGGTCACTAGGACGAACGGTCCTGCCTATTTATCCCCTCGTCCGTCCAAGAACGAAATTAGTGTATTTTGCTAGGCTGTACAAGCGTATGCACGATAACGCGTACTAATTGGCTAGTCGGGTAAACAGTTCAGTATTCTGAATTACAGTGGTGTTCCATAAGTTTGCAACACCCAGGAAAGTTCAACCATCTCTTAAAAGACACATTGAACAAAATGCCGGGAATATCTAGAAAGAGGGTTCAAAGACATTCAGGAAGATCTTCTAAAAAAAACATATAGTTGAAGCGTATTTCGATGGTCTTTTTTCTTAGTCTCTGCTGGTGTCAGACTTTTGAACTGCCACTGTAATATAATTAACTAGGCTGAATTCGGATTAGTGTAGTTAGAGAGCCTCCAATTTTCATAACCCACGAGGCTCTGTGGGGACAGTGAACTTGATTACATACTTTACACACATACTACGCAAGACACGTGGTTCTACAGTAGATTACATGCGAAAAATCAAGGCTATCGGGGCATGGGAAATAACCTCACAATGATTCGACACCTCATCTCAATTTTGCAACTTGTCTGGAGGACCCAACGGGGCGTCATCGCCAAGAGCGCTTCGATCAGAGGGTCCACGGCTTGAGACATGATCAGATCAGAAGCTAAATGTCCTCGAAATCGTACACTGAACCAACTGACTCAATACCCTATCAAACTATACACAACCATGGCCGACTTCACCATGCTCCCCGGTCCAGCCGGCACAAGCATGATCGGCGAAAGCAAGATCGAAGCCGCAGCCATCGGGGCAGAGTGAAGCAACGCCGTCGCGAAGCAGAACTCCAGCGAGCTAGACAACCCGGCGACTCGAGCGAAGAGGATGTCCCCTTCGACGCGACAACGTTAGTATTGTAGGATGAGGACGCGCAGGTCAATACGGCATGGCATGGATTAGGATCTGAATCAGTGTCAAATGAGCAGAAGTGGCTTTGGAAATAAGGTATTGGTATCACAGCCTCCTCAGGAGGATCGAGTAGGACCGAACTCGAAGGCTTCGAGCAAGCGCGTGGGTATAGTTCGGTCGGCGTGGACGCAGATTCAACGGCGGCGGCGGGGATGAATTTGAACCTTCGGTTGTATGATCTGTACAGATTACTCCTGTGAATAATATTAGCGCAATGATATCAATCCACCACCTCAAAACTACCGGAGTAAAAAGAATACCCGACCATCCACCACGCCCGGAACAATGCCGACCTCTTGCGGACCTGCCTACTGTTCTGTACAGTACATACTCCGTTCACCAATTCCCCCTCGGCACCGTAGTCGGATCGGCGCCACTCGGCCTCCAAAAGTAGCACCGAACCACCGACGTCAACAGAGCTCTTAATCGCAAGCTCTTCTTCCAATTCTCTCTCTCTTTTTCACTCCATTAAGACCGAAAACTAAAACACAAGAAGCAATGGCATCCTTGCGAGTATATTCATCTGCGCTATCGCGCAAAGCGCTCACATCCTCCCGACCACGGCTGTACCTCGGTGCTCGATGCGCGATCGCTAGTACGCGGCCTCTAGCGCCGCGGACCGCTCCGCCGAATATGGTTATGCACGTACAGAGCCGGTCCTCATCGACGACGCAGGCAAGTTCTCTCGCGCCGAAGGTTGAGCGCGGCGGGTCGAAGCTGTTTAAAGATGCGGATGCAGCGGTGGCCGATATTAAGAGCGGATCGACGATTTTGAGCTCGGGATTTGGGCTTTGTGGTGTTGCGGGTGAGTTTGGGCCAAGTTTGGAGGTAAAGCTCCGCTAATATGTTGACTGTATAGAAACACTGATTAATGCAATGCACCGCCGTGGCCCGAGTCAATTGCACTCGCTGACTGCTGTTTCGAATAACGCTGGTGCAGCGGGCAAGGGCGGGTTATCGACGTTGTCACAAGCTGGCCAGATTGATCGCTTGATCCTGTCATATTTGGGAAATAACAAGGCACTGGAGAAGAAGTATTTGTCTGGCAAGATTGCAATTGAGTTGTGTCCACAGGGTACGCTTGCAGAGAGACTGCGAGCTGGAGGTGCTGGGATTCCGGCATTTTTTACGCCGACTGGTGTTCGTAAGTATACCATCTGATGAGAGAATGGAAATTGGGAGATCTTTTGGAATGCTGATTGATTCAGACACTTATATCCAGGAGGGAAAGATTCCCGTGAGGATGGATGAGTCGGGCAAGGTCCTCGAGTCAGGCAAGCCGCGCGAGACACGCGAGTTCAATGGCAAGACGTATCTTATGGAGACGGCCTTGACGGGCGACGTTGCTATCCTGCGGGCGTGGAAGGTGGACGAAGCTGGTAACTGCGTGTTCCGGTAAGACAATATCTCCACTGAATTCGACCAGCGTTGCTCATCACTCGTGACTGTAGATACACCACCAAAGCATTCGCCCCGATTATGGCCAAAGCCGCGACCCTGACTATCGTCGAGGCCGAGAACATCGTCCCCATCGGCTCAATTGATCCCAATGACGTCGATCTACCAGGTATCTTCGTGGATCGAATTGTGCCAGCCACCGACGAGAAGCACATTGAGTTAAGGAAACTGCGAGAACCTGAGACCGGCGCCACAAACGGATCTGCGAAAGATGCGGCGCAGATTGAGAGGGAGCGTATTGGTCGTCGAGCGGCAAAGGAGCTAAAGCCAGGATACTATGTGAACCTGGGCGTTGGTGAGTATCAGATCTGGTCTAGTCGGAGTTTGTCCCAGTGGCTAATTGAGAATAGGTATTCCGACTCTTGCGCCGTCATTCCTGCCGGAGGATGTCAAGGTGTGGATTCAATCAGAGAATGGTATTTTGGGCATGGTATGTTATGCAGCAGCATCGTTGACGTGTATTTCGGACTGACTCGAGTAGGGCGCGTATCCCACCGAGGACGAGGTTGATCCGTGAGTATCCCTGATCTCCTCCTATCAAGAAGTAAAAGAAGTAACTCGCTAACACACTGATAGAGACATCATCAACGCCGGCAAGGAGACCGTGACACTAGTCCCTGGCGCCGCAACCTTTGATAGCACCGAATCCTTCGGCATGATCCGAGGCGGGCACGTCGACGTATCAATTCTAGGAGTAAGTCGAACCGCACGAACAAGAACACATATAACACAACCAGTTCTAACGCAAACACCCAGGCCTTGCAAGTCAGCGCCAACGGCGACCTCGCCAACTACATGATCCCCGGCAAAGTCTTCAAGGGTATGGGCGGCGCCATGGATCTAATCTCAAACCCAGACCAAACGAAGATCGTCGTAGCCACAAGCCATGTCGCCAAGGATGGATCGCCCAAGATTGTGCAAAAGTGCAGTCTGCCATTGACGGGTGCAAATGTGGTTAGCACGATTATCACGGACTTGGTGAGTGGATACGCCTGTTATTGATGCTGGTGATAGTATTACAATTGTAGAAACTGACTGTTTGCGTGCGAATAGTGTGTGTTCCAGGTTAACAGGAAGACGGGCGAGCTTACGCTGACGGAGCTGGCTCCTGGCGTGGAGGTGGAGGAGGTGCGCAGTAAGACTGATGCTAAGTTTACTGTTGCGGAGAATTTGGAGACTATGGAGTAGGACTTGTGTGTATAGGGTGCCATGTTGGTTTTGTATTTTTTTGGACGGAGGGAGATATTTATGGGATGATTTGTACATACAGTAGACTATGCATTGTTAGAATTATGATGTTCATGACTTTTACTGACTCTCTGGTCTCGTTGCTACTCTTCACATATGTGTTGTACAGAAAGCAGTTACAAGTGATTGTACCATATGCTCCCTGGCTTCATGGGACCGCCCTTCACTAACATACTGTGCCCTCGCCATCGCTAATAGTCCTGGTTCTGATATGCCCGAGGGCTATTAATACAGCCCGAAGCTATGGCATCTAATCCCTCAGTACTCTATTTCCATGTACATTCATTTCCTTGATTCGGTCTATCTTGCAGTGGCTAGTATGATACTATATACAACACAATCAGCAACAACTTTCTATATCTCCACCTCGCCATCACATTAATCTACAATTTGGCCCTCCCAGGAGCAAAATTCGATCCACTCCCACCACTAATAGCCTCCACAATGGCATCCACACTCTCCAAAATCCACATATTCCCCTCATCACTCGCCAACCACTTCGCTCCTTCCTCTCCCTCCACATCCCCAGCCCAACTCCCATCCTCCAACGCCTTCCGCAACCCAAACACATGCGACAAGACCTGGGGTCCCACCCCCGTCTGCGCGCGCAAACAAGCTACCGCCACAATAGAAGTCAACACTCTCCCCGCAGACGCACCCGACTCCCGCTGTGGATCGGACAACAGCGCCCCGTAATTCGCATGTAGAATGTGCACGGGGAGATCCGGGTGGGACGCGCCTAGCTTGGCGTAGAGCTTATTCTCAAAGGGTCGGTAGATCGAGTCCCAGAGGGCGCGGCCGCGGGCGGAGATGGAGGCGATGTTTTCCGGGGTTGGGGTGCGGGTTGGAGTTGTGGAGAGTTGGGAGGAGATATCTTCGGGGAGAGAAGCGCGGAAGGCGTTGAGGCAGTTGATTGTGCGGGGGATGCCGTTGAAACTGATGCATTTGAGGCCCACTTCGCGCATGAGTTCGGCAGCTGGGACGGCGGAGGTGGGGGTGGTGTTTGAGACGAGTTGGTGGAGGGCTGCGAGGGATTCGGGGGAGTTCATGGTCATTGTTGCAGCGGTCTAATGGGAAGTTAGTGTCTGGTAATCATATTATTGAGCTGTAATTGTGGGCTAGATCTGTAGGGTTTGTTTAGTTGCACTGGGCAGGCGACGACATACCGAGAGCGCAAGCCAGGAGGGCTGCGAGACATTGTTGGCTGCAGCAGTCTGCTGGATGGTGCGATAGACGTGGGCGATATTTGGAGGTGCGGGCACAGTATGTGGCCGTGCAGCCGGAGAATTGATCAATGCCTTCAGGTTGGCGGAGAGCTTCGACATGGTGAAGTCTGAGAAAGGTGAAGATGTCAAGAATCCAAGTTCCCGAGACGCCAATTTGAAGCAACCCCAGACCCGAGGTCCGGCTTGCACTTTTGGATGCCGATACCGGGCGCTCAGAGAACACGTGCGATACCGTAATTTTACCGGCGAACGCGCCAAGCCTGCTGAAAGTGCCAAACCCTGCCAAAACGTGGGCTGTCCCCAACAAAAAAAAGAGCCCCCCAGAAATGCACTGCCGCGTCTGGGGAACTGCGGGGAAACAAGCGAAGAAAATACACTTTCCCTCCTGTTCGGCGGTAGAAGTGGCTGCCGAGACGCAGCAATGGCCTTTCTTTTTATCTGCAGCCCCCCTGCAGCTCGCTGACATTCTTAATCTTGTCTCTTCATTCCTCTGCATCTTTCTCCTTTCTCCACCTCCCTTGCAGAGAAAGGGCAGTCAGCACTCGACGGAGGTCCATCACGCATTGATGATTATGGAGCCTAAACCCGGCGTTATGGAAGTGGAGGAGACCAAGCACACCGAACTCAATCGCTTTGGCAATTATGAGCATCAGCAGAAGCTTACACGGCGGCTTCTGCTCAAGTTGGATACTCGGTGAGTTGTCTCCGTGGAGGATGAGGATGCGAAAAGTCCAGCAGCCCCTAATCGGCTTCCAGGATCTTGCCCATGCTAGCACTACTTTTCCTCTGCTCCTTCCTCGACCGTACAAATGTTGGAAATGCCAAGATCATTGGTCTGGAGAAAGACCTGAAGATCACCGATCATCAATACGACATCGGTCTGACGGTCTTCTATCTCACTTATGTCTGCAGGTGAGCCGTTCAAAGTGTCCAGTCCAGTTCGAACCATAATCAGAGCTGACCCGAACCTACAGCGAACTGCCGAGTAATCTCGTTCTCAAAAAAGCCTCCCCAAAGCTGTGGCTGCCCTTTTTGACCGCGCTGTGGGGTATTATCACCATGTGTCTTGGGTTTGTCCAGAACTATGCAGGCTTTGTCGCCGTGCGGGCGCTGCTAGGAATTGCCGAGGGTGGATTGCTCCCTGGCATGGTATGCAATAGAAATCTTCTTATATTGGACGTTTTCTGACGGATTATAGGTTCTATATTTGTCCAGTTTCTATCGACGTGGAGACCTGGCGCTGCGCATTGGTCTATTTTACACTGCTGCGTCCTTGTCGGGTGCCTTTGGTGGTAAGTAGCGAGTCGCATTACTTTTGAGGCACGAAGCTGATTCGACTAGGTCTACTTGCCCGTGGACTTGCAGAAATTGGTACACGTGGTGGACTGGACGGCTGGCGATGGATTCTTATCATTGAAGGACTGCTGGTATGCTTGCCTACTTTCAGAGACATTGTGGACCATGACTGACGAACTTAGACCTTTGTATGCGGTGCTTTGAGCTTCGCATTTCTCCCTAACTCCTTGGAGTCTGCGTCCTTTTTGACCCAGGAGGAGAAAGACTTTGGTCGGGAGAGACTGCTGCTGGATAACCCCCATTCACCGGATGGGTAAGAGGATTAACCATCTCCCTTAAGTGAGCCTCAGCTAATACATCCTAGAACCCTGGCTGCCGAACAGGAAGCATTTAAATGGTCCGAAGTCCGTCGGGGTATCCTGGAGCCACAAATGTGGTTCTCCGCCTCAGCCTACTTTGCCATTCTCTCTGGACTGTACTCTTTCGGTCTTTTCGTACGTCCCTTCCCCCTATTCTCATATTCGAAACACAAGAATTTCTAAGACAATATAGCTCCCAACCATCATCCAAAACCTCGGCTTTGCCAAAGATGCCAACGAAGTCCAACTATGGACCGTCATCCCGTACGCCGTTGCAGCCGTAATCACAGGTAATCACCCACCCCCACCTCAATTTTAAAAAGTCCATCTAAACCTAACTTTCTATAGTTATCGTAGCAATCGTCTCCGACCGCCTCCGCCTCCGAGGCACGATAATGCTCTTCACCCTCCCCATCGCCATTGTCGGCTACGCCGTCATCGCCAACGTCCACAATCCGCATATCCAGTATGGAATGACCTTCCTCATGGCTACGGGCCAATATGCCAGTGTTCCTTGTATCCTGGTGTGGATGTCGAACAATTCCGCTGGTCATTATAAGAGGGCGACTACGTCTGCGTTGCAGCTGGCGATCGCGAATTGTGGAGGATTTGTTGCGAGTATGTTGGCCTCAAACAATCGATATCTCACTTATGTGCCGCGCAAAATGCTAATAAAGGTGTTCTTTCTCGCAGCGTTTAACTATCCGGCGCGTGATGGTCCGAATTTCCACCGCGGACATACTATCATCCTAGGATTGCTGGTGTTTGCATGGTTCATGTGAGTTCATCATTACTCTTTGTCCGACTTAAACCCTAGTATGATACTAACATCAATCCCGCTGATAGGATCTTATTGAACGTGCTGTACTGCGCCAAAGTGAACCGTGACAAGAAGAATGGAAAGTACGATAAATACGCAGGATGTAATGATGACCGGAACCCGAACTTTAAGATGGTTCTTTAAGCGATGAGTTTTGTTGAGACGATATTTGGTATAATGGATCGAATTGGGAATTTGTGTTGGTAGTCTATATTTCGGATATAAGAACACGGATACTCGGTTTCTCATGGTTTATACTGCGTTTGTAGTATTATGCTAGGAACGTATAACCTATAACGGAATTTACTAATATGAATATCTGATTTAGTGATTTGGGTTCGAGGAATTGAACTGGCGGGGGATCTCATGAAAGCTTACGAAAGAACTAGAAAGCTATGATTAATGAAGTACTGCAGTATATACCTAGCGTCTATAACTGCTAACCAAAGAGGACAAAAGATCTAGGATGTTGGAACGCTATATTCTGATACGACCAGGATTGATATAAGTTGCGCACGTAACAAAGCTAGGGTAGACGAGGTACTAATATTGAGTACATAGATTGATATAGCTACAATCATAATCCTTGAAACTGTTACCAGAGAAGAGGAATGAGAAAGTATATTAAGCTTGACCTTGAATTTCTCGATTCAATATACGAGTATAAGCAGTGAACAAAGAATGTCTTCTACCTACTCCTGATAGAATATTCCAGGAATTTCCCCGTATATTGCCGCCTTGGGGACTTGCTCTGAATATTTTCTAGCAGATTGCTAGAGAAATAGAGATGCCTCAGCCTCTCTTAAGGAATGAGGGTCAGAAAAAGTGAAGGGGGCTAGGGGAACTGAGCAGAAAATTGCTGCGGATTTAGTGGATATAGGAGACACAAGGCAATCAGGCAATCCTATACAATGTAATAGCTAGGCCAGAACTTCTCAGTACGCAGCATTATTGGCTTATGCTTTGACGAATATACTACGGTTATTTTCTGATATATTGAGTTAATTCAGTAATTATGCTTAAAGCTACAGTACAGTAGACATTGTTTGCTAAAGCGACTCTAAACGACAAACATTCAGATAACCCAGCAACCCATCTTCCACTTCTTTAAACTCCCACAATACTCCTTCTTTATCTTCTCCCTGGTAAACTCCTGCACTGCATCCTCATTCATACTTACAACTCCACCGCATCAGCCAGCTCACAACCTTTCAACACCCCACCAGCCTACATCAAGACTCTTTGGGTTGAACAAAACAATGGCTGGTAGCGGCTATCTCGATAGCATAGAAAAGGCTATCGACCAGAACCCGATTGAAGTGTACCTGATTCGGGAACAGATCCTGGGTTCGTACCAAAACCCGGGGTCTCTATACCACTTTAGCCGGAAAGTCTTGCTAATGCATAACCGCAGCAAACGCCAAGGTAGCATTTCGAGGCTACCCTATCGACCTTCTCACAGCCATGGACCAGACAGACGAAGGTAGGCACAATCTACATCACGCTTCTTTTCGACAGTATCTTTAATATGGGGTTGTTCGAACACTTAGAGATCCGATACGCATACCTAATTCGTTATTCGGATAACGAGCTTGGAGTGCCTGGGCCCTTTAGCGTGCTGGTGGCTATGAGGGCAGTACCTGGTAAATGTCCGTTACTTGGGATGCTGCGCTTCTTGGAGGATAAAGTGGGCTCTATGATGCATAGGTTGCTTGATCTTGACGGAGCGGAGTGGGAGTGGCAACCTTGAGTGACCTTGGAGGAGATGATCAACAGAGGGTCCTAAAAGGCTGTGAGCTATCGCGATAGAACCATCGAGTGGAATCAGAGAAAGGCATCAATCATTAAGCTACTTCAGAAACCCTGACAATGCAAGACCGCTTTTGATTCAAAAGTATACAAAGAAATAAAACCAGCCATCTCTAGCTATCACCCCCACCACCCCTTCACGCTCCAATCCACTCTACTCGCCGCCCTCAAATTATCCACATTCAACATATCAACACCCTCTCTTACTAACACCTTCCACACAGAATTCCTTAATCCGACCGGCCACCCAGGTGTCCCCCAATACCTCACTTTGAGACCCCGGTCATGCGCAGCCGCAATCTGAGCCCGCACTTTAGCTATTTGGTCCTGTGATAGGCGACCTAGCGGGAGGGAGCCGATGCTGGCGTGGAAATCGACGGAGGCGTAGTAGCTGTTGTATTTTGTGTATGGCGAGTCGAATTCAGAGGTAGAGTCGGAATCTGTGTTTGATTGGAATTCGACTTCTGAAGGGCTTGGGGCGAGTTTGTCGAGGGGTGCATCGTAGAAGATGTCACGGTATGTGGTGCTCGCTTGGATAAGGTGGAAGGGTGCACTGCCTGTTGCTACGACCGTGATTGGGCGTTGGATGAGGGTTGACCCGTCGAAGTGTGTGAGATAGCCCTTTCGGCGGAGAGGTTCGAGGTGGTTCATGAGGATGGGCCAGAGGAGTTCGGGGGATGATTTAAAGTCGATGAGTAGGACCAGGGTTTGATTGGGTTCTGTGACGAAGATGCCGACCGGAGCGATATCTTTTATTTCAATTGATGATTCTGTCTCTGATATTGAGATATTGCTGGCAGGATTATGCTGCTCCAGAATATCGAGGAGCGGGTCGATGTATAGACTGCGCAGTGACTGATTCGGGAGTACAGTGCGCATCGTGTGTCCGACTCGTAACTCGTCACCGTCTAGCCAGATATCGGCTTCCACGCTGGTGCAGCCTACTGCTAGAGCAGAGAATAGCGGAACCCGCCGCCAATAGTCGTTGTGTGAGTGACAGGCGATAGGGACTACACCGTGCGTGAGCCAGTCTGAGAAGAGCGAGGGCCGTTGGCCGGGGAAGATGCCTGCGTCGCGGCTGTCGGCGAGGACGGAGAGAATACTGTCCCATGCAAAGGAGATGATGCTCACGAGGCCGCTGTATACAATTAGCATTGAGTGCTATACCGGGATGTGTAAGGCAACGTACAAAATAGCAACCAGAATCCAAAACGGCCGTTTCACAACCCGACAAAAGAGCGCTCTCTTCGGCCAGGGCTTCGACTCGCTTTGCATATGCGCACATCTCCACGGGAACAGTCGCGATCCCAATGACCTCTTCCTCCTAGATCCGGCGCTGGGTTTCTCACGAGTGTTCGTATCCAAGATACTCTGTCCACACTCCCGACCCTGCCCTTGACCCTCCGGATCATAATCATGCAAAAGATAGACATCTTCCTCTTCAGAGATCCCCTGCGAAACCGATCCAGCCGGTTCAGACGCAGCATCCAGGCTGGACTGGCAGACGGCGGACCCTTGAATAGCCATAACGACCAAGCCAAGAAGTGCGTCGAAGCTTGATTGCTAAAGCCTCCCGTCGATTCGGGCGACCGGGGTTTATATGAATGAGCTAGTGGGGTCGCACGGCATTGCGGATTTGGACACACTACACAGCAGTTTGAGTTTTGCCTGAACCTCAACGGGCTGGTAACTCTAGAGGAGGCGAGGCTTGTGGTTGGTGTGATGGGCTGGTAAGCCTTTTGGGGGAAAAGCGGTTGCCTAAAGTTGGAACAGTGCGACACGACAGTAAAAGCTTATTTCCGGCGGGTGAATACTGTTGTTAGGACACAAAAGAGGATTGCGTCACTTTTTGAGTGGATCAGAATTTGTTCCGTGGGTTGGGATAGAAAGGAAATCAATTCCTGGGTGGACGTTGGCGATGCTTATACTTTTAAAGGGTCTCTCCTGCTCGGCTGGCATTGCCCCAATATGTACAACTCCGCAAACGTACATCGTCTCCAACGCGGATTGGTGGAATCGGGTACAGGGTAAATGCTTGGCACGGCTGCTTATCTCTAAGTATATTACTGTAACTGGATAGTTAACTAACTACTCCGTACAGTGGTGCCGCAAAAGTCTGTGACACCCCAAAGTATCTTTCTTCACCGCCTCCTTATAGGGGACATACCGCCCATTAATACTAGTTTTTGAGTGGTGCGGATGCTAGTTGCCAGCAGAATATTAGCGCGATACTTTAGGGGGTCACAGACTTTTGCGGCGCCACTGTAGTGCTGAGCCTCTACATGATTAATATTGTCTAGGCCTGTCAGATAGAAATGGTCGCGGTGTGCATATGGTTAGATGTATTTAGAGAACTGGAAATGAACAAGAACACGATCTTCATTTCAGGGCTGATCACCATCTGAAACTGCTTTTTTATCAATAGAAAGCTGTGTATTGTCTTTTTTGACATTAGTAAGAACATACAGCCCCAAAATGGCATCATCGGGGATCTTTCCGACTCTGGCTTACTCAAGCAGGCCTTAACACTTCATCCTATCTCACCCAAACTAATAAGATACGGACACCCAAGGCAAACTAGAAGGAAAATAGAACTACTAGAATTGGGAGATTGAAGGTCGATATGACCAGTAAACCAATTACAATACGTTGAGCAATATTTATTCAAGATGATCTCGTTCCGGTAGCTTTGACGCCGTATAGCAAGGCATTCTCTTCAAAACAGCCCTCAAGAGTGTAGATGCGTATAGCGGAACTTCATAGCATAGATTCTGTTGTAATTCTAACGATGTTGACCCGATTATCAGGTCGAATCTTTTTGGTCCAATCCCCGGTAATTTCCATGCTCGCGCGAGGAGACCGGCCTGTGGTACGACCATCATTCTGCACCCCACGAGCCGAGTTCTATATCATATGATACAGAAATGACAGTGCACAACTTACAGTACTTCCGGAAATCGGTGTCACCACTGACACTCTTTCATTGTTTCTCAAACCCTTGTGCTTAGAAATGCTATGCTACCTCGAGCATGGCTCAAGTACACGACCGGTGTCTAGGCATTTTACTGTAGAATACCGGATAATTCTACACACTAGGCCTTTTTTTTTATTATCTGTATTATCTAGACAGCTATCTGACTGCCACCAGTTATCAAACATTACGAAAGATGATAAATATTTTAGAATCTTGGATGACAGCTTCATAACTGTGCTAAACTTATCCTCCTTACGGCGTTGTGTTGTCATGGAGAGCATATCTCGTGATCCACAGTGAATTTTCATAGAGGCTGAGAATGAGATAGCCGTTCCACGCTCAAATGCTAGCTGACGGTGAATCGAAGTCTTGCTCCAAAGCTCTCAGCTCAAGGTATCTCGTTATAGTTCGAAGGGGTGCCTTTGAAGCCACTGAACCCTCGAAACAACATGTAAGGTATGGTGCCGTTTGCAGAATCAAACAAGCTGTTTCTTCCGCCATGGCCAGGTTCTTTTCCAAAGATTCAACCTGTGTGCCAAATAAGCTTCGCTGGAGTTTGATCATTCCCATGAGAAGTTCCAGACGAAAGGACCAGAAGGTAACAGCAAGTCCTGCCTTTTGGGTATTTGCGAAGCGAACTTGGTAGGCTTCAGTTGGGAATGAAGGTATGCAAACTGAGTCGACGTCGATCAACTTGCTGGGCATTGGGATATCAGAATGCCAATATAGGGGGCCTCGTTCGGAAGCTTTCCAGTTGCTTTCCCACTCTTCCAATTGATCAAAGACCCCCCAATAATCATTTAAAAGCGAGAGAGCGGTTTCTAGATTTTGGTTCGGAGAGCCTGAGATTTCTCGGCGGTTGGAATCGTTGGAAGCAGAATTATCAAGTTCATGAAACCATCGACCTGTTTGGTAAAAGAGCCATGGCATCTGCAACGCAATATCGTGAAGAAGCTCCATTCTGGTCTTCGAAATATTCAGAAATGGGAGGTGTATCCAATCTGACTCTGCTAGGAATGTTGGGGTATGTTTGTTAAGTCTAACAGAAAGCTGTAGGATCGTCAGTGAAAGCAAGAGCAGTGAATACTGAAGGCGTACAAAGATCCCCCTGAATCCACTAAAAGCTTGTCGCATCTGTGGTGAAGAGAAATTGCACGGCCCATAGAGCTCTAAGATGCTTAACACACCACCGATGTGGACCGAAAGGGCTGCTTCTGAGTATTCATTTTCGTTCACGAACTGGAAACAGCGGTCAGGAAAAGAAGTAAATATTCATTTTCATTTGTGGACCAATTTCTCACCTCAAATGCCAGAAAAGCTATAGCTAGTAGCAAGATCAATTCAAGGTTGGCCTTTGGATGAGCACCGCGTTGGCCATTCTCTATGGCCTGCTGGATATATGGACGCGACTTGTTCAAAGCGGACGTGTACGATGACTGTGCGAGTTGTGCTAGCTTTATGTCATTTTTCAAGTTGCCCATATAAGTCGTGAGGAGACTGAAGATAGGTAAATCGAGCGAGTCAATCCCCAAAGATGTGAGCGGCAGTAGAGCCCGAATGCACAAAGCTGCGCTCGAATAAATGGGGTCGTCTCGCAATATTCTATCACCGCTGAAGATACCCCCAATGGGAGCAGGTTTAAAGTCTTTAATCAATGCTAAGAACGTCGAACGCCCAGGAAAATCAGTGGAAATTATATCAGCGGGTGGACTTGGCTTAGTGGCAACTAGTGTAGTTCTTCGAGATGGAGAATCATCTGAGCTACTTGAGCTCTCAAAGTCGACGGCGGTTGACTTTGACTTTCTTCTATTTTGTAATGCGTAGAGTAGCGCTTTTTTATCACTTTGTTGGGTCAGATTTGCAGCGTTCCGATTGATGAATGTCCGTGAATCTTTTGGGCCGCTACACTTGATGCCAGCCTTGCAGCACCGAAGACATTCAGGTTTGTTAAGATCACACTTTTTTTTTTTTCAGTATTAAGACAGAGTCCAAGAGTATCACTCGAACAACGGAACAATATCCATACCTTCTTGCGGCGTCGGCGGCATTCATCGCATCCTTGAGAAGCTCCCGGGTAAAGCGGCATGGCGCGACCTGGCGACTAGCAGACAACCTGAGAGTCTCCAATGCGGGCCACTCCTTTTCAAGAACGCGCTCAGTGACTGCCAAATATGTGTTCGGAGTAAATTTCAAGAAGCAATCCACGTACACTGATTGTTTGAGCTGCGCTGTCCACGGCTACCCGAGGATTCCGCCCGTTCGCCACCCTAGTCCCAAAACGGAAGTCACAGCGCCCCAAAGATCAATATTTCTGGCGTTTCCTCCACACAAGTCATACGTAATCTGGGAGTCTTCCTTTTTGTTGAATAATAATTCCCTTCAACTCTCAATCATCAAATACCAAACACCGATGGTCTTATAAATCAACCATTGAGGGATAGGATATAAAAGTGCAGACCAGGTACAGTGGTTTAACTTGCCTAGCATCAAATAATCTTTTTAATCGTTTGCAACCATGAATCCTCGTACTGCCGTCGTCCTTATTGATCCGCTCAATGACTTTCTCCACCCCGATGGAAAGTTGTATCCCCTCGTCAAGGCTAGTTTGGAGTCGTCCAACTCTCTCAAAAATATGAAGGAGCTGGTTGCCGGCGCCAGAGAAGCCCGCATTCCTATCTTCTATGGTCTTCATCAGATCACCAAGGATGGAACTTACTCAGGCTGGAACCACATGAATCCGTCGCAGATTCGAATTAAACAGAATGCGGCCTTTTCCGAAGAGTTTGGTGGCCAGATTCTGAAAGAACTGGAACCCCAGCCTAGCAATGGTGATGTAGTTGTCTCTCGACACTGGAACAGCAGGTGAGTATTGGAAGACTAGTCCTATTCGAGTCATTCTCTTATTTAGAGAACGATACTAATTCATATAACGCCAGTTCCTTTGCGAACACCGACCTGGAGTATCAACTCCGACAGCATGACATTACTCACATTGTGTTGGCAGGCTTAACCACCAACACATGTGTGGAGTCTACTGCTCGTGCTGCTCGTGAAATGTGAGTATTCTTCACCTAACCGACTTTTTGACTGGATACTTAACTAAGAATTCCTTCTGTTTGAATAGTGGCTTCCATGTCACTTTGATGTGAGTTTCAATCTACTTCCGATATTAAAGGCTGAAGATCTTGTGACGAGGCTGCTAACTTTTGAATCAGGACCGATGCAACTGCGGCATTTTCGATCGAGTTGGAAAATGCAGCAGTCAATCTGATTTGGCCCGTGATTGCAGACCAGCTTATGACGGTCAAGCAGTGGGTATCTTCCTTCTCGAAGGGGCGTATTTGAGTGTGGAGACTTCAATTAGGGATCAAATGTAGATGGGCCCATGTTACTCTATATTCTGGCTCTAGTACTCCAGTGTTTGTCTTTTTTATCTTCAACACTAGATAAATTAAAACTTTGTTAGTATGTCCTTTGTTCCTTGGTATACTTGTGGGTACCTTTCAAGCCCGGCTTAGAGTCACATTTTGTATTTGTTGTGTAGGCAGATAAAATGTCAAATGTTCTTATCTCAAAGGAGGAATGTGCGAAATTTTAAGCATCCGAACGATGTAAGAGGCAAATACAAGTATCGATTAGAAGTAAGAACTAACTATCCAATCTAAATCAAAGGGGACATTTGACAATTACAGAGCTAGGTGTTGAAAAAAAAACACAGTTTCTGGTGCCCTTTCAGACAACCTTGTTCAAAGAGAGGACTCTTTTTCGGCATTCTCCATCTCCAAAAAAGCGTGACCCATATCCAAGAAGGTCTCATTAAAGGGCCGGAACTCAATGCCAAGGATGCTCCGAGCTCGGGAACAGTCGACCTCGTAGTGCTCACCTATGCTTGGCTTCCCTGGGTTTCCGACAGGCACCCGACTCTTCAGTTCGGGTATCTGATCTCGGAGCAGATCACAGACCTTCTGCTTGTCAAAGTCCCCTCCTGAGATAAGGAATCTTTGTGGATTGTCTGTCTCGAATGCCAGAAGGTGGGCTCTCGCAACATCCCTAACATCCACGAAGGCAGGCAACATGGTCGGTGGAACTTCATTCAGAGATGCATCCATGAGCGCATATATCTCTGACATAGATTGACCTAGATGCTTGAGGCCTGCTGATCCAGGGAATGCTGGGCCGTATACCATGGTCGGATTAATGGTTGCGAGAGAGAAATTCACGCCGGGCGAAGTTTCCACGAACTGCCAAGCTGCTTCTTCCGCGAGCTTTTTGCTGCCTCTGTTCAATTTGTTAGCAAATCGTCAGTAATTTTGAACACAGAGACTTTCGACTTACGCATAGGCAAGGCCTCTCTTGTCATCTTTCGTCGCCTGGTAGGTCAGAGGACTCCACTGCGATTCCTCATACACGTGTCCCGGTCGTAGACCCTTCGAAAAGTCGGCAATTGAGGCAAACGAAGAAGTCAAAACAACTCGCTTGACCTTCGGCGCAAAGGAAACCGTACTTTGCAAGATCCCTTTTGTACCGTTGATGGCTGGTACGATCAAATCTTTCTCATTGTCGGTGATCTTGTAGGTGAATGGAGAGGCCATATGCACAATTCCATCAACATCTTTGACGGCCGCATCAAAGGCCCCGGGTCTTGTGATATCAGCGACGATCAGCGTTTCCAGCGAATCCCGGTGTCTCCAATGGATAGAGAGGAACCGGTCGCAGCTATCCTGGTTTCGGACTGTCGCTCGAACTCGATACCCGTTCAAGAGGAACTGTGAAACTGTGTGGTTTCCGATGAAACCAGTTCCACCAGTGATCAAGATGAGCTTACGGGCATTCGACATGTTGCTCTGATATGCCTTCGGATTGATGAGAATAAATCAAATATATCGCGGGAGTGTGCGGTTCTACTTTCACTTACGACCAATCTGCCTTCCTTTTATACATTATATTTGGGATGACCTAGTTTGAGATTAGAATAAAGTAAGTGCATTCGGAGTTAGCGGGTCGACGCATTTGTTACTCCGAATACGAAATACTGGCTAGCCATGGGAAGTCGTGGCCTATTACTTCGTAATTGGAAGATAAGAACAGGAGTAACTATATTCCGTGTGCGCGCTCTCACTTCCACAATAGACTAGTCCGAGAGCAAATTCATATCTCAGTTTATACAGTGTACTGGAGATGCTTGCTTGACCTGGTGGACCTCGAGAAGATGCCTGGGGCGCAGTAGCTACCCTTTGCGGGATAGTCACCCAAGGGACAACCCGGGCAGGCCGGAGTTGGATCGGCAGGATTATTGATCAGTCATACTCCTAATTCGCCTCATCTCAATATAGAGATCTTCATCGAGCAAAAGCAGTGGATAACATTAGACAGTAATAGACAGTAAAAGGGTACTACTGTATGAATTCCGATAGAGTCTCGGCCTACCTGTTCCGCGATTAATAGTAGTATACTTGCCCTAGGACACGCATCAGGGCGAGTTTCCTTCATAGGATTTCGTGTATAACAGATGTTAATGAATTTGATTTCCATTCCTTCCTCTATTTTCTAATCTCTTTATAAAGAAGGGCCCAGGTGAAAAGGAGATTCTATACTGATCTCAAAAGATCAAGTTACTAATAACTGGCCACACAGTTACGAGACATAGCATCATACGATATGTATAGTAAGAAACCGTATTCTGTATCGATTATATACAGGAGCATTAAAACTCCTAGACTGTCCTTAATATAGACTAGTGGATCTTGGCATAGCTTTCCAGAAACAGTCAAAGAGAGTGTAGGTAGTGACACCAATTTCCGGAAGTACTGTACCAGCGCACATCTCCATCTTTTCCCCCAATCTACCGATTCTCCTCCTCATCCGCCCCAGCCTCCCGCGCAGCCTGCTTCCTCTTCTCCGCCTCCTTCCCCGCAAAACTCACCAACATACCCAAATCATAAGTAACCTTTAGACAACCAGCGATGATAAACGACACGCCAAACATGTTATTCCGCGCAAGAATGCCCGTAAGAAGAGGGCCTAGACTCTGACTGGTCGTTTTGACCACATTGACAGCGCCCATGATGGCGGTGCGCTTGTCGGAGGGCAGTGCTGCGGCGAGGAAGGCGGAGCGTGGTGCTACGTCCATGTTTTGGGAACAGGCGCGGAGGACCAGGAATGTTAGTGCTATGGGGAGACTGTTGGGGACGGAGATGAGGGCGAGACAGATTGCCGAGGGCAAGTGTGTGAATACCATTGTCTGGATGGAGATTAGTGGTGAATCAATGCGCGAATCGTGAATGTACGATGGGGTGAGGGATGCAAACCTTCACATTGCCGATGCGCTTGGCGATTGAGGAAGCGACTAGCATCGATGCTGCAGAGATGGAGCTCGTCACGAAGAAGATGGTGCCGAGCTCACCCTCGGGCAAGCTGAACTTGCGGTGGAAGAAGTATGTCATCCAAGAGCTATTCAGATTAGCAATGTCACATTTGCAGCCTTTCCAACGTGTTGACTTACAGCGACGCCAGACCCGATGCAAACGAGTCGAGGCCGAACAGAATGAACAACCGAATCACCAGCGACCACAGATCCTTCTCGATAGATGAGAACAAGGATTTCTTCTTCTGTGCAGCCTCCTGCTCCACGGGCGCAGCATCAGCCAGTAATGGCTGCGTTTCACCATTCTGCTGCCCACGTGCCCGCTGCTTCTCAGCCGTCTCGACTTCGTGGGTTAGTGCGAGCGTGAGGATAAGCTTGACGAGACCAACGCCCGCATACACGAAGAAAATGATCCTGCAAGATGGAATAAAAGCCCATCCGTGCAGGTTCTGCAGTGAGCTGATTATCCACCCGCAGATCAACTGGCCGAGGGCGGTGCCTGCAGTGCCAACCAAGGAGTACCACGCAAAGACATCAGGCAATTTCTCATGTGGGGTGAGATGAGCAAGAGTTGACTCCTCCACAGCACGGAAGGGTCCAATCTCGTTTCCACTAGTGGCAGATAGGATCAGCGGGGGGCTATACTAAATCATCGGACTTCGCACCGACACAACCAACATCACGGACACAACCTCAACAACACCCACGACCAACTCGAAAGCAAGAAAATAAAAAAACATCAAAATGAAGCAGAAGACTCACCTCGGACTAATAACACCAAACACCGCCGCCGCAAGAAGCACCCAGTAATTCCCCGACATCGCAAAAACAACGCCACTCGCCGCCATCAGCGCGGATCCCAACGCCAACACCGCCTTCCGACCCATCGCGTCCGCGAAGAGCGTCAGGAAAAAACTAATCACCACATCCCCGACCAGCGTAAGTGTCATAAACAGACCAATTCGGTCATCCGTAACCCCAATGGCCGATAGGTATGACGCGAGGATGAGCGTAGACCCGCCGTACGCGAAGAGCCGCACGAAGCGCTGGGCGCAGAGGAATTTGACGTCTCGCGTGGAGTGGTACATTGTCACCAGGCCGAGTTCGTGGAGAGCATGCGATAGAGCAGTCTTGACGCGACTGCATCGCGAGGGCGATTGGTCGTGTTCTGTCATTTTTTTCTCTGGGTATCTGGTCTGGTGAATTGACCGTTGACCAGGTGGAGAGTTGTTGGATGAAGATGAGGGGAGAATCAGACTCGAAGAAATTGGAGTAGTTAAGTCCGAGTTGATAAGCTCGGGCTCGGAGTTGGTGACTGGACTTGGAGCTGCGGGTGTGGTGGTTGGTCAGAAATTCAGAGTGGGTTTGGAGTGGAGCCAACTAGTGACATTCACCCTTGAACAGGCTGCAGTTTAACACTTGAAAAGGCTTAAGTAGGGTGATTGATAATAATAGAAAGGAACAGGAGGGAAAATATGTCAGTCCGGCACGTTGATTGGTCGGAGTAATTCAACTGCTTACGTAGCGATTGGATTCACTCTTAACGGTGTAGGATAGATACTCCCTGAGAATTGCTGGCGTGAAAACACTAACATCATCATAGACGCATAAACTTCTTGACCGTAGGCGCGGGAATTTCCAAGTGCAGTCATTCATAGTCGACCTAGTTGGATAGGATCTACCGCCTCAAGCATACTCGCAAGCGTCTGCTGCTTCAATTGTCGCGTTAGACCTGAAACGACCAGCCATACTGCATTAGACCCTGATATCTCAACGGGGTAGAATATGGGAGAGCATAACCTATTAGCAGGCTATAGAAAGGCATGTATTTCCTAAAACTAATCTTTCAGTCACAACCTACAAAAAGCGAGATTTGTATTCCACAACACTACTTCAATAGTGCGGAAGACTTTGGAGAGATCTATTCCATATCCTCAAAGGTCTCTTTCAAAAGCCAAACTATAGACTTCGAATTCTATTAACAATCTACTATGAGTCTCAATGACTAGAACTATGTCACCTCGTGAGTGATACAAAACACATTACAAAATCAAAATCCCCAGAAAGGATCAGTAGTATGGGGACTCAAGCACCAATACAATCGTCAAATATCGAAGCAAAGTGGAATTAATTGGAAGTTGCCAAAAATTAATCAGAAAATTTAATAATACCATCTCAAACCAGAATCAAACCATCTCTATGCTCATATCCACATTCATCGCCATCTCCATCTTCTCTCTCCCACTTCAAACCTCCGTCTTAGGAGGCCATTTAACCCGCCTCTCAGCCCGAACATACAGATTATTCGGCCGGATCAACTGAAACATCGGATCATACTCAATCGGCCCATCATTCTCCCTCGTAAACTTATACCGATACAACAACTTCGGCAAGAAAACCTTCACCTCCTGCAACGCAAAGTTAAACCCAATACACATTCTCGGCCCCGCCGCAAAAGGAAGATAAGCCGCCTTATGCCGATTCCGCACCGCATCCGTATCCCAACGATCCGGGTCAAATCGTGCCGGATTATCCCAAACGGCGGGATTATTGTGGACGTGGTGCAGGGCTGGAATAACCACTGACTCGGCGGGGAGTTTGTACCCGCCTGGTAGGATCATGGAGACTTTTGCTGTGCGGGCGGGTTGGTAGGAAGGGTTGTGGCGGCGTTGGGTCTCTTTGATGAATTTGTCCATGAAGGTGAGTTTGTCGGTGAGGTCAGCGGTGATTTGGGTGTCGGCGGTGATGTCGTTGTCGATGAGTTCTTGGAGGAGGCGGTCTTGCATGCCGTTGTAGTTGACGAGGGAGTAGATTAGCCAGGAGAGTAGGGAGCTGGTTGTTGTGAAGCCTGCACCGGTGGCTACGACGAGGGCTTGCATGAGGCTGGTTTTGGGGAGTTTTTCGCCTTTGTTGTCTGTTGCTCGGATTGCGTAGTCTGTATATAGGTAGTTGGTTAGTTTAACGTGAACTGGTAGGTGGGAGCTTATAGGAGGTATTGATAGAGTATACTTACCGACCATGTTCGTCGCCTTTAGCGCAGCATCTTGCAAAGGCAAGTCTTCGACACCTCCACGCTCCGCATTCGCAATTGACTCATTGACCATCTCAATGATACGCCACCTGGCATCCCGCAGCTTCTTTGGGTCACCAAATGGCAGCTTTGCATACCAATCACCACGGGCAGCAACCTTTTTATTCAACGTCAAAGATTCGGCGATCCGATACACGAGCTCATGGGGAGGTGCATCCGGACTGGTAAAGTGCTTAAAGTCAATTCCCAGCACCAATTTACCAACCGCCTGCGAACCCAGTTTCAGCATGTACTGGTAAACATTCCAGGCCTCACCCGCCTCGTCAAGCTGATCGAATACGTTGAACGCGTCTTCGACGGTAGCTTGCATGGTTGGCGCATAGTGGCGCACAGCCTTAGGGCCCAGTGCTGGTGGGAGGAACTTGTGTGCGGCACGCCATTCGGGGGTATCAGTATCACCGAGGAAGACGCCTGCTTCTTGGTTCTTGATGGGGTATAGAGGGTGAGCTTCATTGATTTTCTTGGTGAAGAAATCTGACTCTGCAAAGACGATTGCACTCAATTGCGGGTCGTTGGTGTGGTAGATTGTGCGGCCCATGTTGGTGGTTTGAAAGATGGGGCCATATTGATCGAAGAGTCGCTGATGGTTGCCCAAATGGTCTGGATAGATCTCGAAGAAGTTGCCCACAAAGGGGAGGCCTTTAGGGCCAGGGATCTCGCGAACGGGCTTGCCGTCTATCGAGATGGCAATTGGGCCTGTGGAGGAGAGAACTTCAGAGACACTATATAGATCTGCGTCTGAGGACTGGAAGCCGATGCCTGGAAGAATTGGTTAGTGATGCAGTTGAGTTTAACATGCTTAAAATCTGAACGTGGTTAAAGTTGTACACGAAGAACTTCGTGGAACTTACCATTTGGCTCGACAATGGCAAACTGGCCAGCAATCCAATGTTGCAGACCTTCAAAATCAAGTTTCTCGTCAAACTCAACATTCCGAGCTGTAGAGCTAGGCTCTCCCAGCAGATAAAATTGTTTAACAACCATTTTGACGGGCTGTGTATTCGTCAAGCCAGCAAAAGAAGAAAACCAGCCACCAAGGAAACCCTGCGAACTAATATAATCATTTCCAATCCAAATCAATCCGGCCAAACTCCACTCCTATCTTCTCAATTGGCAATCAGCCTGCCTGTATAATTACTAACTACACGCAAAACCCATCTGCTTAGCCCTCCGAGCCTGATGGCCTGCCTCGGCAGTTTCAGCATTTGCGATCGCAGGGCCCACGTATCCACATCGAATCGAGCGATGATCGTCCAGTCTGCACATTTTGCGCCCCACCGTGTACCTGGCAGGGCCGGGGCCATGCCCGATCGGACATATAATGCGGCGCGATAGGAGGTAATTTTTCGGGATCGTGGTGGATCGGCTTCGGGGTCGGCGTGCCGTTACCTTGTTCAAATCGGGTACGACGGAGGGTGTGCCGTTTCTTCCTGGTTGTCTTTGATTATACCGAGGTTGAATTGTGTCTTTTGGTGGTGGATACGCATTGAAGGGGAGCATTTATGCATGGAAGATGACCGAGTGGTTATTTTCTTTTGTTTTGATTGGAAGTTGAAGGGTGAGAAGATGTTGGCAGTGAAGTGGGTACAGATTTGGTCATGTCTTGCTGGTGATTGCGCGACTTGTTTTATTCTTCCCTTTCGCTGTTGTGTTGGACTTGGACATTGTTCTATTGTTGACCATAAGCTTTGGAAATGGCTGCTTCAGAGAAGACAGAGCTGAAGGCTCAATGGAAGGCCGATGTGGTCTTGCCTGAGTATTCCATGCAGGATATTGCGGCGCATAATACCAAGACTGATACTTGGATTGTCATTCATGGACAAGGTATGCTGCTCTACCAGATACTGTTTAAACTCATTACTAATTGCACGCAGTCTTCGATATCACCGAGTATCTACAAGACCATCCTGGTGGCGCAGAAGTGCTCGTTGAGGTAGCTGGTCAGGATGCCACCGCAGCCTACGAAGATGTCGGCCACTCTGAAGATGCTCGCGAGATTATGCAGCCCTATCTTATTGGCACCCTCAAGGATGCGCAACAATACATGCGACCAAAAGCGGTACGCGTCATCTCACAAAACACACCGGAAATCCCAAAGGCCTCATCAATAGGTACTGTGGCGGTGGTGGCCGGCACTCTGGGCACCATCATCCCAGCCCTCTATATCTGCGGCTCCAGCACATACTTCAACAATGGCCTGGCCTCCATCTCCCGTCTTCTTCCTCGTCAGCTCGAAATCATTCATTTCCCTCGAGGCGGATTCGTGAATGGCTTCCTCGCCGCCAGTCTGATCGCCGGCGCCATCGGTTTCTACGCAGCCAAGCAAGCCAGTCGCTTCACAAAGATCGACTCCGGTTTCATGCGTTATCCCCCACGCCTCAAGGCCAAGAAGGTCGTCCGCGCTGACCCTCACCTCACACGCGGGTTCCTCGAGCCACAGACCTACCAAGACCTACCACTCGTCGCCAAGCACCAACTCTCCCCCAACGTCTATCGCTTCGTCTTCGGTCTCCCCGATCCCAACACGGTCCTCGGTCTACCCATCGGCCAACACGTCGCCATCAAGGCTGTTGTCGATGGCATCACGGTCACCCGCTCCTACACACCTACCTCCAACAACCTAGACCGCGGCCGTGTCGAGCTAGTGGTGAAATGCTACCCGGATGGCCTAATGAGCCGATACCTCTCCAACCTGGAAATCGGCGAACAAGTACCCTTCCGCGGACCAAAGGGCGCAATGAAGTACACCAAGGACATCGCGCGGCATATCGGTATGGTCGCCGGCGGCACTGGCATTACACCCATGTATCAATTGATCCGGGCAATCTGCGAGAACGATACCAATACCACGCAAATCAGCCTTGTCTACGCGAACCGCAGCGAGGCGGACATCTTGCTGCGTGAAGAACTCGATTCCTTTGCTCGGAGGTATCCTGCTAACTTCAAAGTGTGGTATATGTTGGATACCGCACCAGAAGGTTGGGCGTATGGTAGAGGCTTCGTGGATGTGGAAGTGCTACGTGAGCATATGCCTTCTCCGGGTCCTGAGACGAAGGTCCTACTGTGTGGACCGCCTGGTATGATTGGTGCTACGAAGAAGAATCTTGCTACGCTGGGATTTAAGACACCTGGTTCGGTGTCGAGGATGAGCGATCACGTGTTTTGCTTCTAGATTTACAATACTGTAGTTGATTATGTTTGGGAGTGATTTGGTGCGACTACTGTCTGAGATGTCAATGGCAGGTTTACCTGCCGAAAAGGGGAAATACCGAGGTTAAATACATCTAATCAAAATCGTTCTAGAATTTTTCTTTCTTAGTGTATTTAGACTCGTTTAGTTTAAACTGTGGAGCAGGAACTGCCAACACGAATCTCTGCACAAATCATCGCACCCATAAAGCTCAGCACGCTCCGGCCCGTGTTCCTCAATGGGGTACCGTGTCCGATAGCCCAACGGAATTTGAAGCGGATTGATAATGTTGGGTTTGATTTGACTCATTTGACTCATTTGAGTTTTGCTGTTGTTTAGAGTAGGCACTACCATTGACGTACCCTCGGGATCCCCGAGACTAACTTCGCTCCACTCATCGTTCCCGAAATCTGCACGGTCTGCGCCGACTTTTGGGTGTTGGGTTTTGCTTATGCAGGCGTTTGCTTCATAGTCTTGGATGGAAGTGGATATGCCGGTACTTAGATTGGGCCGAGGTTCTTCTTTTCTGCGATTAGAATTGGATTGGTCTTAGCTATATACGTTTAACGGCATGAGTCTGTCTGAAGGTGCGACCGACCAGTCTCGAGCGGGCTTCGGTATATCGGGTTACCGAGTCTGTTTGCTGCCGTCATTCAGGATTGTCGCCGAAGTAGTTATTGAAGTGTTTAGACGTAAATAAGTCCTTGAGTCTTTATAGAAAAGGTACCATTTCGCCGTGAGGGGAGACTTTTGGGCTCATTTATCATACATGATAGTTTAGGAACTATAAAATTATCGAACAAGCTTCATGTTGAAGCAGTGCGCCGATACAACGTCAATTCATGAGGCACGTCCAGACATCGGGCACCAGCTTCAAAACATTCCATGCAGACATCGATCGGAAAAGGAGCACACTTGTCGCACTGATAGGATGAATCCTTGCCCGAGAATGGCCGAGTACACACATCACACAACCAATCATATCCATGTTGGAAATCTTTCACAATCGACAGACTGTCCATCTTGAGGTTGAGATCATCTTCATCTGATATTCCACCCTTCTCACGAATAAGCTGGACAATTCCCGGTTTTCCACTTCTCGACGCCCACCGAAGGAACGTTCGACCCAGGGCATCTTCAGAGTTGACATCAACTTCTGACAGCGGTAGCAGTCGTTTCACAACTTCTTCATTGCCGTTACTTACCGCACTAACAGAGGCGTTGCGCCGTAATGGTCCCTCGCATCCACCGCGGAACCATGCAGACGCAAAATCTCAACAACCTCATGGTAGCCTCTAGCAGAGGCCCAGAATAGCGAGGTACGACCAAAGAGATCGCGGGCGTCGATGTCATCCTTCGAGTACTCTAACAGAAGCTTGGCTGTCTCTGCTTTTCCACCAATTGCAGCATAATGGAGCGGGGTGCTTCCATCGTTATCTACGGCTGCGGAATCTGCCCCCTTGTCAAGAAGCAACTTGACAACATCAACGAATCCGCCATAAGAGGCCAGATGTAATGGCGTACTCTCCGCTCGTTTGTCTCCCTGTCGCATATCTGCACCGTATTCAAGAAGAAGTCGAACTACCTCGGCATGGCCCTTTCTCGAAGCAGAGTGTAGTGCGGTGCTCCCATCACCATCAGTTGTAGCGAGATCTGCACCCCGATGAAGAAGTACTCTCACAATCTCGACATACCCCTCACCCGCGGCCATAATCAGAGGTGTCACTCCCTGAGGCCCCGGAATATTAGGATCGGCGCCTTTGTCGAGAAGTAACTTGGCCACCTCCATGTAGCCATCAATCGAAGCGAGAAGCAAGGGAGTGCTTCCGTCTATGACTCTCACGTTAGGGTCGGCATCTCCTTCAAGCAGTACTTTTACCACCTCTGTATGGCCGTAGTTGCAGGCTACGCGAAGAGGAGTCCGTCCATCCTTGTAGGGAACGGCGAGATCTGCTCCGTGATCGAGCAGTAGCTGCACCACCTCCGCATTACCGTTAAGTGAAGCCCTGTATAGCGGAGCAGATCCCTCATTATGTGGAATGGCAGGGTCAGCTCCCCATTCAAGGAACAATTTCACCAGTTCAGTATTCCCGTCGTAGGCGGCCATGGATAAAGGCGTGAAACCACTATCAGATTGGCTCGTGAAATCGCCTTCATGCTTGTGAAGTAGCTTGACCACATCGATATAACCACCAGCCACAGCTGTCCAGGTGGGTGTTCTCCCGTCGTTGGTGGGAAGCGACACATTGCCCTCCTTGGCTAGCAGTAGGCTCACTACCTCGGTATGGCCGTTGCTTGAAGCTAAATTGACAGGTGTCCATCCTTCTTGATCCTGGATCGTCGTACTCGCGCCAAGGTCTATAAACATATTCACAAGTCCAATGTGACCATTACAAGCAGCCACGCCGAGCGGCGTATCTCCATCTTGAGTCTGACTTGTCAAGTTGGCACCGCTCTCCAGAAGAATCTTGACTACATCAGCATGATTGCCTGCTGATGCAGCATGAATTGGCAGCCAGCCTCGCTCGTCTAAGATTGTTATGTCCGCGCCATGCTCCAGGAGTAGTTTCACCACTTCAGTATGACCATTTCCAGAAGCAGAATCAATAGGCGTGCTTCCATCTCCGTTGGGAATCGTAATGTCCACACCATGCTGAAGAAGAAGTCTGACTATATCGACATGGCCGCTATCAGAGGCTGAATGTACTGGTGTCCAGCCCGAATCAGATTTTGCGTTGGCGTCCGCTCCATGTTCAAGAAGTAGCTTTACCACCTCGATGTGACCGTCATCAGATGCCGCATTGATAGGTGTCCATCCCCGGTCGTTGTTTTCCTTAATATCTGCACCATTTTCGATGAGCGTCTTGACCAAGTCCAGGTTACCGCTGCGTGCAGCCTCATATAGAGTCGACTTTTCATCCATGGCCTGTGTGAAGACAATTACTCCCTGTTCGAGATGGATGACTAGGGGGCGTGAATCGATTCAATTGTTTTCCCGGGTCCAACTTGTCGAGGACTTGAGAGAAGATAGTGAAGCTTAAGACTGTGAGAGCTGAAAGAAAAGGCTCCATGCCAGTGTTTCAAATAAGTCATCAGCCCCTTGAAAATGGAATAAATAGAGCAGTTTCTAACTTGAACTCGTGATGGTTGTTCAGCTCAGCTGAGCGCGGGGCCATCTCCTTAGTATCCACTACTAGACCAGTGCTGTACTACGGCTCACTACTATGGACGGTATGAGTGTCTCCACTATGCACTATCTTACTTGGCAGCTGAGCTGCCGACAATCCAATCATCCAACCTATGTATCTCGTTATTTCCAGTCTCTGAGGCAGTGGATGCAGACGTTTATACTGGGGTGTTGCCAATTCTCTAATAGTCGCACCTGGCCGTTCAATCAATCTTCGACGACCCGAATTGTTCAACCAAAATGGAGTCTTAGAATACTCAGGTCGACAACATTAACCAGACATGGTTTATACAACGATCTTTTGTGTATTTCAATATGCTCATGCAATGATATGACAATTAATAATTATAGAAACGCCGGCTGGCTATAAATGGTATCCAAGTCGTAAGACGTGTCTGGACAGTTCCAAGCTGCCCCTGTAATCAAGATTTTGCAACAATGGTATCGATTCCTCAGCGTAATCGTCCTCACTGAGCCCGTCCAATCTCGAGATCTTGGGCGGGATGGTCATTGTGCGGTTGATTTTCAGGTTGGGACTCATTGTGAGACTCGGTCCGAGTCTCCGTTTGGGTTTGTTGCTGCTCATGGCCATGCTCGGGATCACTCTGCAGCGCACCCGACGCCTCAGGAACAGGCGGCAGTGCCGGTGCCACTGCAGGCGCCATGAACATCGGATGCTGTGGCATCGGCATTGCCTGACTCATTTGCGGCCCCGGTGCATTAGGATCAACTTCCCGGTTCAACGAGACAACCGGGGACACAGGCGGATACGTCGCGGTCTGCGGCGGCGTCGAGTACAGCAGAGGCGGACCCATCGACGAACCAGGTTGCTTACCCGGTCGCTTGCTGGGTATCACACGCTCCGGCGCCGGGCCCAGGATAGTCGGGTACTTATATCTGAAACCCCATTTCAAGAATAGCGTGAACTTGCGCCACGCGCTCAGCTTCTTCCAGCGACTCTGTAACACGGCCGAGTCGTGTGCGGTACGTGCACGATAGCCCTTGCGGAAACAGCAGAGACAGAACAATGTGAGCGGCATGATTGTCAAGGCCCAGCATACTGGCATTCCGCGACGGGTCTGCCAGCCGGTCATCAGGCGGCGGAATCGGATCCAGGCTTCCAGGATGCCGAGCAAGAACCACAGGACGATCCAGCCCAGGACGCTGATGAGTAGGATGGCCAGTGGGGAGATTGCGACTCCGTACCAGTCTTCGTAGGATTCAGGATAGTTGGAGTAGGCGTACCCGTGTCCCTCGTATCGGCAGTTCTTGTCGTTGTTGTTGTACAGTGTTGAGGGGTAGTACTCATCACTCAGTTGGTTCATCGATGTGCTGGGAACTTGTGTCGGCTCAACCCAGACGTACTTGTACACATAGGTAGACGATTGGAAGCCCCCCGCGTTGTACACGCTATACGAGGTAGAGACAGCGGTCGTGGGCAGTAGACGGTCGAAAGTGACCTCGGACGGCGGCGTGACCGATACAGCGGTGGTAGTAGTCCATTGCGTAGAGCAGGCCGTTGGCGCAGAGTAAGTCAGGTTAACGACCCAGATAACTGAGGTCAAGCCGCTGTCTTGATTGCCGTAATAGGCGCTGTAAGGGACGGGCGTGCCCACCGCGCCAGACGGGTACAGTTTCTCGACGATAGTTGCAGCGCCGGCATAGTAGTCTGTCTGGACGATGACGTTGGTTTGAATAGCCTCCGGCAATGAAGTTGCGGTCGGAATGATCTCCTCGTAGGTTGTTGAGGTAACGATCGACCACTGATGCTTGCTGGTGTCGTAACCACCATAGACCTCCTCTGGAACCACCTGGAAATAGTCGGTCGCAATCCAAGGTGCGCCAGTAACGAATGAAGTTAGATAAGTCAAAACGAGCGACAAAAAGTATAGAAACGAGTGTGAAGGCGCCATGGCGACTGGGCCTGTGGTTGGAACTGCGACTGCGACTGCAAACTCCCCTGCGACAAGAAAACCCGGGATGAGGCTCTGGCCAGAGGGGGGGGTTTTAAGAAAATTCCGTCAGCGCCTCATCGCAGTCATTCCGCTCTGTGCTGGCGAGACTTCAGTTTTGGGCTGTTGGGGGCCATGAAAAGCGCCTCAATGTCGGAAGTACCCATTCAGGGACCAGTGGAAATTGCCCCCCAGGCCAAGTCAGGACTAATGCCGGACACGCCGTGGTGCAATTGGTTGGACATGCTGGATCTCAGGGTCTGAGGAGGCTAAGGACAGGGTCTAGCGGATGTTAGCGCGGTTTAGCAGAGGTTAGCCTCTGGGCTTAAACCCCATTTGGGGGTTGTGCTGGTTGGCGCCAGCGGTGACTGGCTCGCTTATTGTGGCTTGCATTGTAAAAATAGCCTGGCGAGAGAGATGATTGAGGGTGTTAGAAGAACCAGATAAGACTTTCTTGCATGAAGGCAAGGAACGTGATCGAGAAAATCTTTTCTTGCAGATGCAGAATGACTGTGATCAGCTGATTAGCAGTGTTTGCTGTGGCAAGAGGCCTCGGGACATTTGCTGTGGCTGAATATCCTCGGGGGGATGCCCAGTTGGTGGAGTTAGCGGCTAGTCCGAGGTGTTCGCTCTTTACAGTCCTGCCTTTCACATAACCTTCTAAATCGAGGAAGCAGCAACTCTAAGTCGATGGTGAAGCTACAGCGATAGGGCTTTGGCTCTACGCCTGACGACTAAAGAACCGTTGACTTGAGGCTAAGTGCTGGGAGCAGTGGACGTAGATCCTCCGCACAGGCATCGTGGAGCTTGAACTGGCAGAGATAATCTCACCGATCATTAGAATAACAAACAGAGTCTTGAGCTTGAGCGAGCCCGCAAGGAGTGAATATCGGCGAGATAAGGCATTGTGATGTACTACGTGTAATTGATGCAAGCAGCGACAAGCATTCCCTGAACGGCAGAAGAGGCATAAACAGCCTTGAATTTGGAATTGTTTCTTCGCGTGTCATCACCGTACGTATTTTAGAGGAAGTCATTCATCACGGCTGCGCCAACTGCCTTATTAGTTGGGCCAGTCCTCTTTGGCCTCGCAGTGAACCCTCTAGTATAGCCGCATACTAGTTGCAATACATGGCAATATAGTCCTTTTTTTTTGCATCAAACCCTCATGATTAGCAAGTTCAAATTGATTCCCGTCCCTGTGTCAGTACTATTATTGACCTTGAGCTCTATCATAGATTATTTCTAACCTACCGGAGTTGTTTAACGGTTTAATGGTGATCTTCAACTCGAGTGTTGGTCACCCCACAGGATCTGTCTCCACAAATATCTCCAGTATACCTTATTGTCAGAGTTACTGTGAATATGATTTATTCTTATTTAGAATACTGCAGCTCCTCAGCAGACATTGTCACTATTCCAAGGGCCTTCGAATCTGGACCTCCTTCTCTCTATACGGGTACTAGTTGAATTAAGATACTGCTAGTAATCTTCGACAGGAGATTCAAGTATAATCGATGTTTTCGAAACTCTCCATACAATCAAACCTGAATGTATTCCGGTCGTGATTACCAACTCTTTAGTTTTGTCAAGATACGATTCATCCATTCCGATAGATCTAAGCAACTATCGTCCACCACCCATGGCGACAGTTGCCAACCTTCAACAGCTAAGCTAGCCAATTACATACTCCTCAGCCCCGCTCTGATATTAGTCGAAGCACTTATCTCTCTGGCCATTTACATTCCAGCTCCAAGTCTTCAACTCTCCACCCGAGTCTCTCCATTTCCCTCTCCATTAATTCGCTGGTATTTGGGTAGATAAACCAAATTATGACATGATTGCATCTCCAAACCTTGGCAACGATTTCTCGGAGCGACGGAATAGATCGAAAGAGACCGTCAATCTCGACCATCGTCTCCCGAATAGCATCGCCCGACTGGTGCGAAAGGAAATGTGGAAGCACGTTAGATAAACGATAGACGAAAGTCGTGATTTTCTTCAGATTTGTACAGTGTTTTCGCACCAGTTTGAAGATTTCGAAGGCAATGTCCACTGTCCTAAATGGTAGATTCTGCCCCGAGGTACCCGAGGTGTGTGGGAAATGAATCAAGAAGTGCTCCAGCTGACTTGTGCTTTCGGGGCCAATTTGGTCGAAGATTTGGGATACCCTTGATGAGTCGTGCAAGGCAAGATTGAACAGATTCTGACTGTAGAAAAAGGACTTTGCCTCTTTGTTGATTGCTCTGTTCACATGTAAGATGTTGAGCTCGGGTATTAGTTTCCACAAGAATGGGCCGATAGACATCCAATGGCGTGCGAAAGATGATTTTTGGTCAGGCTCATCATCGTAGAATTGCTTGGGGCCTAGTGTTATAACGCTTTCACTTAGCAGGATATAGCTGTAGATCTTGTTTCGTATCTCCTCCGGGAGACTCAGGAAGTTGGTTGGCATGTCGAGGTCAATACTCGCTAGTGAGGTTGATGCTAAGGGAGGGAGGAAGAGGTTTGATGTCTGTTGGTAGACAGTAGTCAAGATAAATATGCCCCTAAAAGAGGTATTTTCCGATAGACCTCTCCAGGTTTGCTTCTTGGCTCCGGATTATGAGAGACTCTTGTTCTTTGTTCAGATGGAGACTCCCTCAGAACTTCATAGAAGGAGTTACATAGAATACTTGGCCATCCTCATGGCTGATGATCAAAGATAGCGTACTCCAGAGTAGTTCGGTGATGATAACCTTGGAGACGTATAGTTCTACCGGTATATTTTTCGACTTAACTGCAATTAGGAACGTTTCCCCCGCTTGTTCTCCCATGATCTGTCCTCTTAACTCGAGCATATATCCAAAGACTTTTCGAAAACACCTTGTGAGTTGCTTTAGTCCTTGAATATCACACATAGGCAATGTGGGGAAGCGTATGCAAGTGGACCAGCCCATCTACCAAGTATTCGGGACAATATCCACTTTCCAGTAGACCATGTTATGAGTAGAAACTTGGAATTAAGAAACCACAACGAATAGAAACCTCCATTGAGAAACGCCTCGAAAGTATAAGACAAGTACAGCACAAGGCAATCAAAAAATGGTGGAAATAAGCATAACCAGTGAAACGCAAAAATGTAGAACAGCAAGGCCAGAGACACTCCCAAACGCAGAACCGTAACATCGTGATAAAACCATAGTCCGTACTGGATCGACCACGGCCAAGAACAAAACAGGGCAAGACAAGACAAGCCAAAATAGAACAAACCATCTGTCTATGCACAACCCCCGATATAAACAGAAAACCCCAGTGCGGCTCTACTGTTCCAGCAGAATCAAACCCAAGCACGAGCGTAAGCCCTCAAGTTCCCTCCCACCTAATTAGCAGCCCTCAAAGCCCTCAACCTCGCCCCAAGCCCATCCTCCGCCTCCCCAGTAACCCCCTCCGAAACCTTCGGCTCCTGCACCCTCCCCTCCGGAGCCTTGCCCGCCTCATCCTCCAACGCCATCCTCCACTCAATCCCGGCATCATCCGCCAACTGGCCCATCATAGCCTCAACCTCCCCCCCCCCCTCCGCCCCATACTCCGCCATACTAATCCCCGCCGCAACATCCTCAATCGCGGCGCCCGCAATCTTAAAGTCCTCACTCCTCGCCAAGAAGTTATTCGCATGCGCCACCAAATGCTCCAGATTAACGCTCTTACTCGCCGCGTCTAGCCCGCGGCTCGCGAGCGCGAGCGTGCGCGATGTGTCGCGCGTGCTTTGCGCGGCTTTGAGTTCGTTGATGATTACGTCGGCGCGGGCGGCTTCGGCTTTCAGCGTGACTTGGCGGCGTTTTTCGCGGACGGCGGAGGAGGCGTGGATGCGGGCGATTTGGAATTCGCGGGCTTTCATGGCACGGTCTGCTTTGCCTTTTTCGGATTTGAAGGTTGCTTCGGCGCGGGCGGCTTCTTTTTTGAGGCGGTTGGAGTGGAGCTGGTGTTGGTTGTTAGTATCATGGTATGGATGGTTGTGGTTGTGCGTATGGGCGTGCGGGGAGAGAGTGAGAGAACGAGAGAGAGAGAGAGAGAGAGTGAGAGAGGTAGAGAGGCAGAGTGTGCACAGGACTGACCTTGACATTTGTGCGAGCTTCGAAGATGGGATCTCTGCGGACCATGATGGGCAGATGGGTGCAGTGGAATGCACTTCTAGTGTGTAATAAGAGAGTGTGTGTTGTCGAGAGGAAGAGAATTGAGAGTTGGAGTGTTGTGGCTGAGAGGAAGAGAGAGGGAGCGGGGTGGCAAACGTCACTGACCGCATTCAGTTCTTAGCGCGGATATGGAGGTATGGACCGATGACAGAAATAGCCAAACAACGATCCTGTGGTCAATAATACTCGAGAAGTAGATGGGAAATTCATAGAGCATTCAATAGCCATTTTAGTGTCAAGTGTATTCAGGCGACTCTATTTCAGACCTTTTGACTTGGTCCAAAGTTAGGCTGCCAGATTGCCATCCTCGTGCTGACCATAGATCTCTAGGACATACCGACTCATATTCCGACTATTACTCAGATGATCATACACCGATATTCTACTATTAGAATGCACATGATCAAGATTGCGTAAAAAGGGAGCCAGTCAATTTCATTTGAAGCTGGATGATTTGAAAAAGGGGTGCTAGTAATACAGCTAAAAAAAAGAGGAACCCCCACCCGCAACTATATTATTATAGTTGCTTACCCAATAGCACCGACGACATGGTCTCGCCGGGACCAGGTGAAGAACTCCAGGAACTCCGTGTACTCCGTTCATGTTGATGAGTTTGACCCATCTTTCCGTAACTGCGTCGTCGGCCAGATAATGAGACCCGAGATTGATTCTTGCCAATCCCGGCCCCCTTCACAGTCGACAGTGATGATAATGATGAAACTGCTCCTCCCTGAGTCCGCCCGCGGCGTCGCGACTGGCTGGTGATACTATCGATTGCCCAGACCATAGTCAACAAGGACATCCAACTCGGTCGACCCTCGGACGTGGCCGACACCGTCCCCCGCGGGCTGATAATCTGCTCCCTAACCGCTAGCTGCAATGCTCTGCCCGTCGCATCGCGAAGTGGACGCGCCAAGGCTGGGCTGCATGCTAGCAGTCGGGTGAGCAGTCTCATCCGAAAGGACGGGCCGGTCGCCGTCGAGGGCGACAGACTCGGGGTCGAAATCAACCAATGAATCAAAGGGAAATGCTGATAGATCTCCGCCGTCGAGAGCGCCAAAGGCGAACCCGTCTTCAGGGAATGAAGGATGCGAAGCAGTGGGGATGTCACTGTGGAAGAGGCGACGGAAGTCATCGTCAGAAAGAGGAGCTGCAACGTCGTTGCTAGCGTGAGCTGGAAGCTCGAGGTCGAAGAGAGGGAGGGCACCACTGTGGCTGACTCCTGCTCCTTCGAGGCCGCCGACGGACACTGCAGGTCGGAAGGGCACAACATCACGGCAGGATGTTGTGTCACGTCGGTGGTGGCCTCAGCCAGAGTGGAGGGCTTGAGGGTGGGGGAGTAGTCGAGGGTGATGGTGGAGGGAGTCGGGAAAGGAATCCGCTCTATTTGGAGGTCTTCGCCTTCCTGTTTGAAGAGGGTGGGTGTGAGAGTAGGAGAGGTGGTGGTGGTGATGGCGGTGGAGGAGGAGTGAGGAACCGGGGAGCCGGCCTTGACGGGGGTGCTGCTACGAGAGCCGCGCACCTCTGCAGAGAGCTGAGCCACCTGTTGGGACAAGCGGTTGTTCTCGGCTTCCATCTGCGAGAGGCGCTGCAGGAGGAACTGATTTTGTTGCTCCATGCGGATCTTCTCGGTCTCCAGCTTCTCCATCTCTAGGCGCTTGCGCTCACGGGAGGTTTGCGCCGCCGCGCGGTTCCGAAGAACACGCTCGATACGGCGCTGTTCCTTTTCATCTTCGGTCTTGGCTCGTTTCCTGGAAAAAGGGGGGGAAGAATGTTAGATGGATGATTTCACAGGTATACAGGAACAGGGCATTCGCGGGTACGTACCTTGGAGGAAGGTTGGTCTTGGGCACTGGTAGTTCCTGACCCCAGGACTTTCTCTTCTTCGCGGGCCTCTTCTCGTCTTCCTGGATGTCCTCATCCACCGGTGCTGGAGAGTCCAATGACGTATCTGCAGGAGAGACGGTCAAAGGCATCTCGGGCTCCGGGGTTGCGGGGAGAGATTCCAAGTCACGAAGTGACGTTGTCTCAGCCATCATGTGAGTAAATGTTGTGTGTGATGTTGATGGAGGGTTGGATATAATGTTGTATATATCAAGCGGGAGATGGCCGGTGCCGTCGAGTGATGATGGTGAAGAGAGCGGGAGGGGGGTTGATGTGAATGAAGATGTGCTTCTCTTGTTGCCTGGAATCAAGGCCACGCTGTCATCACGGTCGGGCACCGTCAATCTGCCTGAAGTCGAGACAGTGGAAGAGAATGACTCAGCGAAGGCAGAGGACAGATGGTCCTTTGGGGTTGGGGGGTTTGGGTTGAGGGACGAATGCGGGTGAGTGGCCTGTTTAAGTAGAGGGCCAGCGTGGTCAAACGGAGGGGGAGAAGGGAGTTGACCAGGGATAAGGCAGGGTACTGGAATGGTACTTCAGGTACCGCAGCAGACTGTATGGCAATGCAAGTACCTCCCTTCTGGAGGGGCGGAGTCGTCAGCCCCGATGGGGGCCTCAGATTACACATTCGATACATAAATTACCCCCGCCAGCATTACCCCGCCAGTCAGCATGCCAGCATGCCAGCATGCTGGTATTGATACTGTAATTCAGCCCCTGCGCCCCCTGGATTCCACGGCTCGTTTGTTTCAGTCTCACCGTCGACTCGAATGGACTGACGCCCTGCGGAGTCCGACTTGCATCAGGGGCCCCCCCCGAGGTTGCAGAGTCCAGACACTCCGCAAGAATAATAATAAAAATAATAATCATAATCATACGTGCTGGCCTGCTACTATGAATAGGCCTGACTGCGACATGCGCAGCACTTCCACTTGGGGGATTTTTGGACCCCTCAGGCCCCCAACTATGGAGTACGACATTATGTACTGACTTCAGTACGGACGTAAAACAAGAAATTGAACGTCGCAGGATACTCATAAAATGGTAACACAATCAAATGGCTCAATAGACTCCTGTCCCACCAGTCCCCTCGACCCCCCCTTTTCAGCACGGAGTGATGCTTCCCGACAATCCGCCACCCTTGTCTGGAACACTGGTGGATCCGCTAACTACTGGATGGCACGAAGGCCAATCTTGTCTGTCTTACTCCGTACATACTCCTTGTATCCTCTCCCTCTCGTAGGCGTCTGTCGAGGGGCAGATCGAATTTACGACTGTGGATGACTGGGTGGTCCCTGCACCAAGCCTCGACCAAACTCCAACAAAGAAGCCATTCATACATCCAATCAGATCAACGAGCAAGGAGAATTGCCTCGAGCCACCGGCCGTTAATTCTCCGTGATCCTTTCTTCCCCTGAACTGTACGGAGTACACTAAAGTTCGAAGTTCAAATTACAGTCTGACCGGACTCTATCCGGAGATTAGTGCTGGAATGTTATTTCCAGGGGCAGGGGTTATTCCCCGGACTTGATTGTGATTGCATTCGCATTGGCCCTTGACCCCTAGTAAGAGTCCCACTCTCTAATCCTACCGAAGCTTGTCGAAGAATGCAGAACGTACCCCTCATTCGGCTGCACTAGTGTATCTTCTACATTAGAGGGAAAGACATAGAAAGACCTTAATGTAATTCTTTGTGCTAATGGAAAGAAAAAAAAACCGTGAAATGTTATTGAAGTCATTGATAAGTGTGCTGGTTTTGTTGTGTCATTTTCACGCCCCAAAACTGTCTACAGTAGATATGGAGGATCTTGAGAGAGAAATGGAAAACAATAAGTTATTTCCCTACTTGCAAAACCATCAACAAGATATGATTTGGGAAAGGCTAAAAAATATCGATTACCCGATCCCTACATTGGAGACATTTTTTCAAGATATTTTAGGGTGCGACTGCTGGCACCACCTAAAAATTCTGGCGGCACCACCATTGGCCTGATTAATGCCTGATTTCTGCCAAGGCTTTCAGTACGGTTAATACATCTTATTCGCACGGATAATCTATTTACCTTAGTAATTAGGTTAAATCTTTAGATAATTTAATCGGGTTTTTTGAATATATTATAGAATATATCTAATCTATCTTCCTATTAAATTAGATTCTAAGATATCTAGATAGAAGGGTACTAGGCTAGGGGGCCTAGATTCGCTAAATTATTATTTTTGATGGGGGACGCCAAGGATAGGCCCGCGGGTAGTCTATACCCTTTTCGGAGGCCCTCTTGGCTAGGGTTCCTTAGGTAAAGAGGGCCTCCGAAAAGGGTATAGACTACCCGCTAGCCTATCCTTAGCATCCCCCATCAAAGAAATTAATTCTATGAATCTAGAAAACCTAGGTTACTACCTTTCTACCTAGATATCCTAGTTTCTAACTTTATAGAAAGGTGAATTAGATATATTCTATAATATATTCAAAAAACCCGATTAAATTATCTAAAGATTTAACCTAATTACTAAGGTAAATAGATTATCCGTGCGAATAAGATGTATTAACCGTACTAAAAGCCTTGGCAGAAATCAGGCATTAATCAGGCCAATGGTGGTGCCGCCAGAATTTTTAGGTGGTGCCAGCAGTCGTACCCATATTTTATACCTGGATGTCTGCCAAAGTGTCATTAGACAACTTTGTTTGCGGCCGCCTACCAGAAAGAACACTATTGACACAGTCCTGAAAGGTCAACATAACGGCTTTACGGAAGGTCTGATGTCTAGGTCCTATTGGGAACAAACTATTGTTAACCCTCAAGTCCTTGATCTTTGGCGAATAAGCTTTCAGTTTGCATTTGAGTTGTCTTCTAAAAGGGACCATTTCCGTCGTTTACCTCGAAAAGATAGAGATAAAATCAGGGCTTCCACAATAAGCCCAGATGAAAGGCTGAGTACGACTGATAAACTACGGCTACGGGCTCATTTTTTCTCATTAGCTCGGAGCTATAGGTTTGATGTTCCTATCCTTAAGACAGGCCAGATGCCATATAGGCGGCTTCCTCGAACTACGCTATGCGACTTTCCGCCTAGTGATGAAGATG